TTGAGTTCACAAGTCTCCACCTTCTCCCACACAGAAGCCGAGCTGCGCAGTCAGCTCAACATCTACGTGGAGAAGTTCAAGCAGGTACGAAGAGAGTGCTGCCCCGTAAATGTCCCTTGCTAACCGACAATCAGGTCGAGGATACTTTGAACAACAGCAACGAGCTCTTCCTTACATTTCGTAAAGAAATGGAAGAGATGTCCAAGAAGACCAAACGGCTGGAAAAGGAGAACCATACGCTCAACCGCAAACAGGAACAAACAAACCGAAATATCCTCGAGATGGCAGAAGAGCGGACGCGGAACCACGAGGAGCTGGAAAGATGGCGCAAGAAGTGCCACCACCTCGAAGCCCTGTGCCGTCGGATGCAGGCCCAGGGCCGCGGGGAAGCCTTGCCGGGAGGGGATTTGGATGGTGACGACGAAGGCACCGAGAGCGAATACGATGAAGAATACGAAGATGAGGAGGACGAGGAAGAGATGAGTGATGAGGATGAGCTGGATGCCCACGACCACCACATCCCAGGAGGTCGCGGTGACCAACCCCCGGAGCGGCCGGTCTTTGGGCCCCCACCACCGCCCAGTCTGTTGGAGACCCGGACGAATGGCAATACGGCCGTGGTCAACGGTTGCCATTGATAATGGTTGTGTGTGCACAAGTAGTTGGCGCTAAATGCATTTTGATGTTTATGGCATTACCGACAGCACCCCCTTTCCCTTGGCTTTGCATCTGGGGCATCTCCGGTTTTTGGCTCTCCTAGAAGATAGGAAACGTTTGTTCTATCCGTAGCATTGCACGCTCGAGTGGGATTGCGCGAGTCATTGTTATTTCATGAGTTTCTGTACAAGTACATGCCATGCTATCCTCAACAGGAAATGAAAGATCACAAGAAAAAAAAAGATATCCACCACGTTCATCCGTCTATAGCTTTGCCTGGCCATTCGCCGTGATGTACGAGCCGCCCACCTTGAGCATGTCCACGGCCTCCTGGACCATTTCCTTCACAATCACACCGGCCGGCTTGATCGCCTTGACGCTCGCGGACACATCGCCCATGAGGAAGGGCATATCGATATCCTTCTCGTTCTCCAGATCGTCCATCATCGGCACAATCCCCTTCGCGGTCAACTCGGCAATCTCCGCCGGCCGACTCTCCCACGCCTTGATATACTCATTAGGCAGCATCCGCAGCGGCCGACCTGAGATAACCAGCGTGCGCTTCGTCTCACCATACTGGGCACCCACAACAGCCTCCTTATGCATGCGACTCGCGCCACTCTCCTCCGACGCAACAAACCGCGTCCCAACCCAAACTCCCGCAGCACCCAGCATCAACGACGCCGCCAAGCTGCGCCCATCATTCACTCCACCCGCCGCCACCACCAACGCCGGCTGCCCCGTCAAGGGACTGCGATATTTGCGCGCCACATCCACCACCGCAGGAACTAGCACGGAGAACGGAATATCGCCCGTGTGTCCACCACCCTCACCACCCTGCGCACACACAATATCCACACCCCGCTGGAACGCCTTCTCCGCATGCTTCGGCGCACCCACCATATTCATCACCAGGATACCCGCACTATGTAGCTGCTTGATCGTCTTCTCGGGGGGAACGCCCACGGCAGAAACGAATAGCTTCGCGCCATGCGAGATGGCCACCTCGACCAGCTGGTCTAGCTGTCCGTGCGTGTAATCGTGGTTTGTAGCGCGCGCGCCGTTCCCGACTTGTGGGAGGGCTAAATCCACGCCGAAGGGGAGGTTGGGGTCGCGGAGGAGTGATTTTAGCTCCGTCAGCATCTCGGATAGCTGCTCCGGTGTGTATCCCAGTCCGCCGACTGTGCCGAGTCCGCCGGCGTTGGAGACTGCGGCAGCTAATGGCGCGCCTGACGCGCGGGCCATCCCGGCGAGGAGGACCGGGTGCTGGATATTAAGGAGTTTGCAGAGGGGGGTGTGAAGAGACATTGTGGTGGTGGTTATGTTCGAAGAGTAGGAGAGGAAGGGGGCTGTGAGAGAGTCTCCAGTTTGGCAGTGTGAACGAGTGTATATAAATAAGTTGGCGACGAGGGACGAATAATGCGGGGAAGTTTAGCCGGACCGAGGCTGAGGTGGGCGAGTTATGAAATGCACATTTTAGTGTTGAACCGAGGAGGCTTGTGGATGGTTGCATACAGCCGAATTGAATTATGAATTAGGCACATGGAAGAACGTAGACAAAGTCATCGAATGAAAGAATTGACTATGATCGCAAGCCTTTCTGTGCGTAGCTGTCATGTAGGGCAGCCAACTGGCCCAGCGGGAAGCCACTGAACGCGCACGCGTCGCGTCCATCCTTTGCTCTCTGCACCTCCCACCCCATTATCATCCACCGTCATCCCCAAGATGGTCTCCGAGACCACCGACTATGGCTTCCTACGCCCGCCGGATAATACAGACCATGAACCCGCTTACCGCGCACAATCCCACTACACGCCCCTGCACACTTTCCGCCTACCCGCCGGCCAGGGACGGCACTACCAGCAGCAGTATGGCGACATGTACTTCCTGCGACTGACGCGCCTGAAACCAGCCGTGGAGAAGGTAGCGACGGAGGCGTGGGATGGATTCAGTGTAAGAAGAAGCAGATCCGGGACCGTTGAGAGCTGAACTGATCACGGGCTCAGATTGCCGGCGAACGCGCGCGGCGCGTGGATCGGGTGCTCGATGTACGGCAGGGCGAGCTGTGCTGGGTCGCTGGCACGGTGTATATGGATCTGCCGCTGAAGCCGAATATTCTGGATGATCTGACGAAGGAGGTGCGTGCTCTCGGCCCTCTCGCTCTTTGCTCCATCGGCTCAACCTGCTAACACGACGCGGCTCCTAGAATTTCACATCTGCGCCGCCTCCGCGTCGCACATACATCGACCCATCGAACCCGTCATTGACGCAGATTATGATGGAGGATGAGTCCGGACGTCTGCGTTTGACGGGTGCTGTTCTTGCGTCGACACACTTGGCTACCGGTGCTATTATCGCTGCGCTGGGGACAGAGAACGCGAATGGTGATTTCGAGGTCATTGATATTAAGGTGCCGGATTTACCGCTCCAGCCTCGGCGGTGGGCGGGGGACAAGGAGGGGAAAGCAACAAGGCCGGGCAAGATTGCGTTTGTCAGTGGATTGGGGATTACCGGGACGTCGAGCGATACGCTCGCATTGGAGCTACTGTCCGAGTACCTCCTGGGCTACACAGGATTCTCAGGCGATACTGAAAACAGCCCTTCGGCAGACGCATCCGCGATCACACGGCTTGTCATTGCAGGTAATTCGCTCGGAGCCACCATGGTCTCTGAACCGGGCACGGACAATGCAGCAGGAGAGAAAAAGAAAGCTGCGCCGAAAAAGTACGGCTACGATGCAGCCTCCTACAACGCCTCGCCCATCACCCATCTCGATAATTTCCTCGCAGAGATCCTGCCCAGCATCCCCGTAACCCTCATGCCGGGCGATTCCGATCCGGCGAATTTCTCTCTACCGCAGCAGGCCATCCACCGCGCGATGTTTCCGCAAGCGAGGGCATACGCGGCAGCACCACCGACATCTGGCGAGAGTATCCCGGAAGCGGGCTGGTTCGACAGCGTCACGAATCCGTGGGAGGGCGATGTCGAAGGGTGGCGGCTTTGGGGCTGCAGCGGACAGAACGTCGACGATGTCCTGCGGTATCTGGATTTCTCCGGTGATGACGGCGAGGAAGACGACTCGGACGCACGGCTGCGGATTATGGAAGCTATGCTCCGATGGCGGTGCGGTGTTCCCACTGCCCCCGATACAATCTGTATGTTTATGTTTCCCTCTTTTTTGCTTCTGCTTCTCCGCATCCTAAATACTAACCCATTTTGCAGGGGCATATCCCTTCCAAGAAGATGACCCGTTCGTGCTGCACACCTGCCCCCACATCTTCTTCACGGGGAACCAGCCCAAGTTCGACACGCGGGTCATCGAGGGCGAGATCCCGCTCCGCTTGGACGGGGGTGGGGGTGACGATACCGAGATGGCCGATGCGGCAGACACGTCCTCTGCGCGCGTGCGGCTGTTGTCGCTTCCGAAGTTTGGTGAGACGGGCGAACTGGTGCTGGTTGACACTGAGACACTCGAGGTGGAGGTTGTGCGGTTTGGAATTTTTGGGGGCAAAGAAGAGAAAAAATGACGTAGTCTTTTAAAACATAAATCATGACATGAATTCGATTAATGAGTCTATCCTTTTACGCTGTTAGCCTTGGAACTATGTGCTGGATGGTATACTTGGTCTATACCAATCGCGGTGGAGCTTGGCGGGATCAAGCCCGCCCCACTACCATCCAGAAGAGAAAGAAAAGAAATCTTTGTTAACTACAGTCGTGAGGAGACCAGCAGATATACAATTGGGTATTTGGTTCCAAAACACACCAATTGCATGCTCCAAGGACCGACAATATATATCTCGAAGCCCAGCTAAGTGACTCCCGCAAGGCTAGAGGATAGAATCACAATGCTCCTCAACGCCAACACCGGTACGCAACCAACCTCTCCCCAGACAAGAGATGCATTGCATGGCACACAAAGAAGTGTAAACCGGGCCAGGACAGAACAGAAAAACTAACATAACCCCCAGCCATTTCAACCACAAGGGTCCTCCTGGTTCCATACTCTCCGCGGCACGTCCCCCGCTACCATGAATGGATGCAAGACGAGGTCCGTACCCGCCGCCATAACGGAGGGAAGTGAATGGAAATAGATTCTAATAAATAAACAGGAAATACAAGAAGCAACCGCTTCCGAACCGCTCACGCTAGATGAAGAATACTCCATGCAGCGCAGTTGGCGCTTGGATCCGGATAAATTGACATTTATTCTCTGCCGGCCTATACCTATACCTATACCACCATATAGCGAAGCTGCTACCTCTACTTCTCCATCTGCTGGGGTCATAAACAACATTAATACAACCCCGACCCTCACGCCAGAAGACGACTCCCCTCCAAACATGGTCGGAGACATCAACCTATTCCTACGCATCGACGACGGCGACGATGGCGACTCGGCACCGCAGCTCATCGGTGAGATCGAGCTGATGGTCGCCGAGAAGGCGAACCAGAGGCGCGGGTTTGGGCGTGCGGCGTTGTTGGTCTTTTTGAGATATATCGCTGAACATGAGAGTGGTATTCTGGCGGAGTTTGTGCGAGGTGGGATTGATGAGGGGGTGAAAAGGAGGCTTGGGTTGGTCTCTTCTTCTACTACTACTACTACTACTTCTTCTGGTACAGCTACAGCTACATCTATATCTGAGGAGGCAGAGAGAAAGGAAAAAGAACCAAGGGAACCAAAAGAAGGGGAGGAAGAAGGAAAGAATACCAGATTGGAATTCTCCTATCTGAGCGTGAAGATTGGGCAGTCCAACACGCGCAGCCTGGCCCTGTTTGAAAGTCTTGGATTCAGCAAGGTGTCGGATGAACCGAACTTCTTTGGCGAGTTCGAGCTGCGGCGCGTGGATTTGAAGATGAGCTGTATCTCTGAGGAGATGTGTCGGGCTGGGGTCGAGGGATATTCGGAGATAGAGTATCGACCGAGCGAATAGAGAACTATACAGTATTAAATATAAATCGAAGCTTGGCCCGGTGATTATCCTGGATAGCTATACTCCTATCCCAGTGCAGTTGGAACGGCTGCGGAGAGATTGCTATCCCGGCAATAGCAGCAGATGGTTAGAAGGACACCAAGTCGCACATGCAGTTTCTCAAAAAACGTACACGGGACCAAAGAAGGTATTTCAACTGTTTTTTTTATTTCTCTTCATTATGATGTAGGGACTGAATGTTCCGACAAGGGTGGTCCTCGAGGGTATGAATAGATTCGAGCATCACAACCACCCCCCTGCTGACTCGCAGAAGGACCAATCCAGCTCCATTCTTTTTTTGCCATCGCTCCATCATCTAACAGTTGTTGGTTGCACGTAGCACATGATGCATCGACCGACCAATTCTTGCCGCACTCCGTCATCTCCATCCCTCCGGACATCAGGTCATGTCAATTTTTTTTTACAGGGACTTCTTCTTGTCACCCTTGGACACATCGACAACCTTGAGGGCTGCGGGAGAGTGTTAGTGTTCCATATTTCTTATTCCAGGATCATGTCATGATCTCACCAGGGGGCAGGCTCTGCTTGAGCTTGGCGGCCTTGTCGGAGTCCTTCAGGGAGAGGGTGTAGAGGAAGCGTTCGCAGCGGACCTTGAACTTGACCTGCTGGCTCTTGCGGTTGCGCTTGATGCGGGCGGCTGAAAAAGCATGGGTGTTAGTTTGGTTCATTCCTCCTCCTCTTCCTCCACCACCACACAGAACATACAGGAGGCATCCTTCCGGCGGCAGATCTCGATGAACTGCTTGATATCGGAGACTTCGCGAGGCATGGTGGGCGGGTGTGATTATTGTCGGGGATTGGATATGGATGGTGATGGACCAGGAACGATAAGAAATGAAGGAACTGTGTGTTAGGGTTTGCAGCCCTTAGCGCGGGTCTTCGACTGTGGCTGGTGCGCGTGTGGCGGTGGTGAAGGTGGCTGAGAGTCGAAAGTGCGCCATGGCCGTTCGGGGGAATCTTCCGGATGGCCGTCGGTGTGGCTCTGTGATAGTCCATAGACAGTGATTTGCGCTGGATAGGAAGCGGTTGGGGTTACATCCAGCGGGAGTCTATGAGACATGATTTGGATGCTCAGCAGGTTTACTGCTTCTCCTAGAGAGGCAAATAGGAAGAGCGAAGCGGAAATATACAAGTATAGGAACTGTGGCGTCGGGTGGCGGTGCAGATCAGGCGGCGACTTTAATAAACTGAACAACATCACCTTCTTCTCTCTCGGGTTTACCAAAACAGTCAGTCAACATGCCAACTCAACTCGATCGAGCCCTGAATTCAAAGGTATGGTGGGGTCACACTGTCCTGCACAGTAGCTAATGCTCAACAGAATCTATTTCTTGGTATACACGACCCAAACCAAACATGTCTAACAGTCTAACATTCCCATCAGGCTTCGCCGGCATGGTCACGGCGGTGGCTGCATACTCCATCTGGGGCGGCGACATGTTTCCCAACGAGCCAGATCCGACAGGGGGTAAGTAGAGCTCCGCCGTCACACACACACAAGCCGCTGATTGCAAGTAGATCCGGAATCCTGGACGGCGGAAGAGATGAAGAGATGGCTTCGTGTTGTATGTCTAGCTTCATTTGAGAAGGCAGCACTTCTAACACTCCATCACAGCGAGGACTGTTGCCGAATGAGAAGGCGACGCGCGAGGAATTGCTGGAACGGATCAAGGCCAACCTGCGGGTACCTCGCAAAACAACGTCGGCTGCGTCGCAGTCATAGAAAGGGTCCGCGGATCAGGTCAGGTCTGCAAATCAGTGTAGAATAATAATGTGTCGATGCTCTCGTAAACGTTGGATCTTCGTCATGGGACTTGAACAAGGAGATGTTTTGGGCGTTGGCTATCATATCACTTCGTGAATTATGTAATGTCGTAATTTCTCCCTCTGATCATGCAGGCGGATCAGGGGCGACAATCAGACAACAAGCCGGAAGTTCTGACTCTGGATCAGCCACTCCTTTCTGCGCTTCGCCCGATCAGACGAGGGATTCGGAACCAGCACAAAGGTCTCGCTGAACCCGCGCTGGGGCTGATCGCGCGACTCTCCATACCGCACATGGCCACTGACAATGACCAGCACCGACATGTCCTTGACCGTCATCTGAGCCGCGGGCTTCACTCCCGCCGCGGTGGTCGTGGGGTATGCGCGGTTGATGATCTGGCAATCGAACGACTGGACTTCATAGTGTGCGGCGGGCATCTGGTTGATGAAGATGTCCTGCACGGCACTCCCATCCGCCACGGGGTTCCCATTGAATAGGATCGTTGTCGGGGTGGGGAGGTAGAATGAGCCGATGGCGTCGCGGTTGGACTGCAGGGCTGGGTAGAAGGACTGGACCAGTTCAGTGGCAGCTATACAGGGAAGTGAGAGTTAGCAGACAGTATGGCCGTAATTTTTGGAGACATACCCTCCGAGGACACTTTGGTCAGCGTATCGTCGTTGGCCGCGGGCATTGCTGCGTGAATGAAATCTGCGACGGACGGTGGACGGCTGATGGCTGGTGGGCTTCTGCAAGAGGAAATATATTCTGCAGGGATTGTGTATAACAGAGAAAAGGACGGTAGCTTATATAAGAACAAAAAGCAGGTCAAGTGGGTTTGCGCAGGAGTGTAGGGTGGGTTGTTGAGGAGGAAGAAAGACAGAGCGAGAGAAGCTTGGACCTCTTTGAGGTTCACCTCCGATCGGCGACATTTCAACCTCCGCAGCACTTTTTCTCGCTCTCCACCCTCCCCGTACCCAATGGCCACTCCAAGGACGCCCTTTCGCGCCCTATCACGGACTGCGCAGTTGCTGTCCCATCGACCAGCATGGAAATGCGCTTCCTGCCGAACCCTCGCGCGCATCCCTCGTCGCGGTGTCGCGACGGAAGCCAAGGTTCCGCAGAAGCCTTACTATATCACCACGCCGATTTTCTACGTCAATGCCTGTGAGTGTGCCCAAATCTATGAAATTTTCCCTTACTAATGTCAGTAGCACCTCACGTCGGTCACCTGTACACTATGATCCTCGCCGATATCCTGAAAAGATGGAAGGTCCTGCTCGGCGAGACGAACGCCAAACTGTTGACCGGAACCGATGAGCACGGAATGAAGATCCAACAGGCTGCTGCGGAAGCGGGTATGGATACGCAGGCATTTTGCGACATGAACTGTCGGACCTTCAAGGTGGGAGTTATCCTGGTGATAGCCCAGTCGAACCTTCCGCTCATGATACACAGGATCTCGCCAAGGCTGCAAATATCGACAATGATTACTTTATCAGGACCACTGACCCGGCTCATCGCGATGCCGTTCAGTACTTCTGGGTATGCAACCTCAAACTGAGTCATGTGTCGGAGCGTAGCTAATCAAGCGAAGGAAATGTTGAATCATCGTGGATATATCTACACTGCCAAGCATGAAGGCTGGTATTCCGTCAGCGACGAGACGTTCTATCCGCAGTCGCAGGTCCAAAACTCCCTCGATCCCTCCACCGGCAAGAAAAGGATGGTGAGCTCTTTACCAATCATTGCAACCAGCGCAATTGCTCACCTGCAAGCTAGGTCTCGGTCGAAACGGGCAAGGAAGTCGAGTGGTCGTCAGAAACCAACTATCATTTCCGTCTCTCTGCCTTCCAGGATCGTCTGCTTGACTTGTACAAGAACGAACAACAGAAATTCATCACGCCCGGCAAATACAGAGAGGAAGTCATTCAATCTGTTTCTTCGGGCTTGCAAGATTTGTCTATTTCGAGACCGGCGGAACGATTGAACTGGGGCATCCCTGTCCCTGGTGATGACACGCAAACCATCTATGTATGGCTAGATGCGCTGGTCAACTACCTGACCCAGGCGGGATATCCTTTTCCTCCCGGGCAAGAGAATCAGCACATATGGCCCGCCGATGTGCACGTGGTCGGGAAGGACATTGTGCGGTGAGTACACGGCTTTACCCGGGAATGCTGAGCACCAGGACTAATCATTTCCCTAGCTTCCACTGCGTGTATTGGCCGGCGTTCCTCATGGCTCTGGATCTTCCTGTGCCTCGGAGAGTACTGGTGCACGGCCACTGGACGATGAACCAAAAGAAAATGTCCAAGTCCACCGGTAATGTTGTAAACCCGTTTTTCGCCATCGATCGTTTCGGAACCGATACCATGCGATTTTTCCTGGCCTACAAGGGCTCTCTGTCGGCGGATTCCGACTATGACAATGAGTTCATTCTTCGCGATTACCAGAAACGTCTCCTAGGAGGCATCGGAAACCTCTCCTCCCGCCTCCTCGGATGTGCCAAACGTGGAGGATGGAAACTTCCCGCGCTCATTAGGGATGCGAGGGAGGGTCGCCTTCCCCACCCCGGGACTGAGGATCGTATGCTACAAGCACAGCTTGAACAGGCTCCAGCACAGGTTGCCCAACACATGGATCACCTGAACTCACGGGCTGCGCTCCAGCATATCATGGACCTTTTGCATGAGGTAAGAAAACTGGAGCTCCCCGCACGCTACGTATCGGACGAGTATTGATCTCCAAACAGACGCAAAGACTTTTCCACCTGAAGGAACCGTGGTCACATCCCGAGCCCCAATGGACCCTCTACAACACGGCTGAAGCGCTGCGCATTTCCGCCGTCCTGCTACAGCCATTTATGCCCACCAAGTCCCTCGAAATATTGCAATTGCTCGGCGTAGACACCTCGGACCCTTCCAAGCGGACGTTTTCGGCTACGACGTACGGTTCCGATCCAGATTACGGCGAGGGTGTGGGCGTCAACAAGGTCACGCACCTTTTCCCTCGTCTGACAAGCGAAAGGTAATAAAAAAGAAAAACCAGACTGGCCCCGAGCTTTCGATTTGATAACAAGAATGGTCCACCGGCCAATCACTGCTCGCCCGGGGGTCCGTCCAAATAAAGATTTGCATCATCGCCGCCTGATGCAACAACTCCACGAAAGGGTTTTCCGCCTGGTACCTCCGCACGGGCGGAGGCTGCTGCCAGGAAAATAGTCTGGTGATTGGCAGACCCTGCGAGGTTATCGCCGGGAAAGACTGGGGCTAGAACCGTGGTCTCAGTCCTATCTGTCACCACGGATGGTCGGGATCGGGAAACTCTCCCGTTTCCCGCGGACAACTTCTTGGTTGTTTGTATATCTCCAACTTTTTGCAAACTATGTATAGCACGGCTGGTTTTGGACGCTGAGCGTTTTTGAGCACTTTGTTTTTTTTTAATTACTTGGCCTCCTTATCTCCTCTCATTGTCCTTCGATTTTATACCACACTGCAGTTCGTGCAACACGCCTTATCTCTCCGAAGACAATTTACTATTTTGGGAATCGGAACCCCCTTTACATCAATACATCATCGGTCTCACACCTTCTTGTCGATTGAGCAATTGTGATTTTTTTTCATCCACACCTCGCCACCATGGGCAGCATCGAGCCTTCCGTCTACGAGCCAAAGCCGGCATTCAAGACACCATGGGTCGAGACTCCTCTGGTCGAGTCTGCCAACCTGTCTCGCGCTGCTGGTTGTCGGGTTTTTCTAAAGCTGGAAAACGTCCAGCCCAGCGGCTCCTTCAAGTCCCGCGCAATGGGCAACCAGATCCTGTCTCATCTCCGCAACCCAGCCTACGCCAACCGCCCCGTCCACTTCTATGCCTCATCCGGCGGAAACGCTGGCCTGGCGGCCGTCTGCGCCGCCCGTAGCCTGGGTTACCCTTGCACCGTCGTCGTGCCGCTTGGCACCAAACCCTTGATGCTCCAGAAGATCCGGGCAGCGGGCGCAGCAGACGTCATCCGCCACGGCGAAACGTTTTCTGAGGCCGGCGAGTACATGCGCGAAGTTATCATGAAGAACAAGTCCGGAGAAGACGACAACACGGCTAAAATTGCTCTTCATCCCTTTGACAATCAGCCCATCTGGGAAGGGAACAGCACCATCATCGACGAGCTGGAGAAGCAGCTCCCTTCCGCCGCCACCGCCGAAGAAGAGGCCGCCTATCGCGGCCGCGCCCTCCCCGTAGATGCTGTTCTCTGCAGCGTCGGCGGCGGCGGCCTTCTCAACGGCCTAGTCATGGGCTTGGAGAAGCGCAGACAGCAGAACATAAACGCCACCGGGATGACGCCGCCCAGCCCCATCCACCTCCTCGCCATTGAAACGGCTGGTACCGATTCCCTAGCCGCTGCCATCGCCAAGAAGTCCCTCGTCTCTCTCCCGAAGATCACCTCCCAAGCCACCTCCCTCGGTGCCATCCGCGTCTCGGAGACAACCTTCCGCTACGCCGTGGCGCCTCCACCAGGGATCAAGGTGCACAGTGCCGTCCTGACAGACGCAGAAGCTGCGCGGGGCTGCCTCCGTCTAGTGGATGACGAGCGCTACCTCGTCGAACTTGCCTGTGGCGTCTGCATCGAAGCGGCCATCGGCGACGCTGCCACTTCTGCATCGTCGGTCTCCGCCGCCGCAAGGGGCCAAAGCGTCAAGAGGCGGAAGCTGGGTGCAGACAACTCGGCGGTTTCCATTAGTGATGAGGGCTACGGTGATGATCGGTCGTCTTCAAATGAGACTGACCCTGAGACGGAACAGGAGGTCGTCGTCGACCATGCCGGACATGAGTCGTCTGGATCTCCTCCATTAAAGTCGAAGCTGAAACAGCTTATCCCCGACCTCAACTCCCAAAGCCGCGTTGTCATTATTGTTTGTGGAGGCAGCAACGTCACCATCGAGACGGCTGGCGAGTGGAGGAAGTTGTTGGCCGAGGGGTGGGAGTGAAGGCCAGACGTATTTGCATGACGACGTTGATGAAAATTAATTTGGCTGAGCAGATTGTTTGTTGCTGCTGGCTTCGATGCATGCTTTTTTATACTATCATATATACCTCCTGTGTATCTTATTTTCTTCTGTTGTCGCTTGGTTTCGGGCTGTCTCTTTTGCTTTCTTGTGAATATCTTGCTGCTGGACTAATCTAGAAGGTTGTTTATTTGTTTCTTGCATATACAATGATTTGAATGAACTATTTCTATTTGATCCCGCTCATTGAGTAGGCTGTGCTATATCCGGATCTATACTTGGTCGCAGCCCCGCAGGGATTGCAAAGCCTCAACTCCCCTGTAAAATGTGTTTGGCTCTTCTTTTCTTTCATCTTCTTAGAACCTTGTCCTCTTTTTCTCTACTTACTTTTATCCTATGGGTTTCAAATATAAGATGTTTATCATCACATATCAAGATGGCAGTGAATCTGAAAACATCAGACTGCACGCCTGAACTATGGAAAGACCACAAAGCCGGTTAATGTTTCCATTGCCAGACGAGTCCCAGCACAGTCAGTATCTGGCAGCACCGTCTCACACATTACTTCAAACGAGCATGGCTTCATACACGCAGTTTGGTGTGCATACTCCAATCACCACCACCTTGTCTTGCGACCAGAAGACGTCTAGTTTTCAATTCTAGTCCAGCTATTGGATGCGGAGGGAGAGAAATAAGATGACGACAATAATAACAAGTTACAAACGTGTAACTAGCAGAGAAGCAAACATTTAACTGTCGAAGTACACAGACAATTCGCCTATTGACGTGAATGTCCAATTTCCACCAGGAACCCCGATGATCTGAATCCCGTCACCCGCGGCGTTGTCGAATGTAAATGTATACCCCTTGTTCGGAACCGCCGAATTGTCGTATGGATACTCCGGACTAACTGCCAGGCCAGTGACGTCCTTCCATGTAAACTCATGACGGACCTGAACTTTAAGGTTACTTTCAAACCAGCCTCCATCACTAAAAGAGTCCCCTGTTGTGTAGACGATTCGGTTCATGTTGTACTCGATTGGCCAGGTATAGCCCCAGCGGTCAAGGTCCTTCAGAGAGCCGTCCCAGCTATCTTCGCTGAGTGTGGACCCATCGTTGAGATAAGATAGATGGCCATAATGTGCTGTCTTGCAAATAGGCACAGTCCCGTCAACCATTGCGAGATTCGTTGAACCAGGCTGATTCTCGGGGGTGCTGGGACTATACTTGGTCACTTCGAGACCTCTCAGAGAGAAGCAATAGTTCCAATCGCTGCCCGCAGCAGCTCCAACGAACCAGTTTGACTGAACCCACATCTTTGTCCCATTTTCAGAGATGAACTTGGATGGGATTGTAGTAGCATAGCCTCCATTCTTGGGGGTGGTAGTGTTCAAGCCGAACCACGGGGTCACGCCGAAGTCTTTCCATGCAAAAAGCGTGAACGGACCCCAGGGCTGCGGCGCCTCGTAGAACTCGAATGTGTAGTCCGTCCAGCTAGTGTAGAGGTACCGATTGAGTGGTGCGTTGTATACCACACTGCCCTGTGAAATCACCGAATACCCATCCGCAGTCTCCCCGCCAGGATAGACTCTCCGTGTGTCTTGTAGAACAGGCTTACGGGATGCGATATCAGAGCTCCATGCAGGGGAGCTAGCTGTTCCGCTGAAAAACTCCCATGTGGAGATTTCTTGAATGGAGGAGATGGGGGCTCGAGCAAGGTAAACGCTCTGCGGATCAGGAACAGATCCGTCTACCGAATCCCGCCAGTTGTTATCCAGGCCATACGCATAGACATATTTGGAGTCGTCTGATCCCAAGACGGTTGCATGGGAATTGCTTTTCCCGAAATCGAGGAAGAAGACTGTTGTGAAAACATACTTCGTGAACATGGGAGTCTTTGTAGAAGTCCAAGTGACACCGTAGTCTGCTGACCGGAGGATACTTGCTGCTGGCACATCATTGAAAGCCACGTCACCAGTGCCATTGTTAAGCATTTGGACCACCAAGTACAACTCGTCTTTGCCGTCGCCGTCACCATCAACCGCAACTATACCAGTCGGCTTTCGATTATACGATCCATTGACCCAGATTGGACCCAATGCATCTCCAGCTGCCAGTCTCTTGCCAGATAGACCAGTTTCGGGGGTGCCAGATATGCGACTAACAGTGCAGTCGGCGAAGTCTGCTTGGGCGGTGGAAAAGCCGAGGCCATCACCATTAGCCGCGTAGACATAATCGTCGTCAGCCCACGTTGTCGGCCAAAGGTCTCCGTCGCTCTGGTCGATGTTAAGTTCGGAAGAGTATGCGATCAAGTTCGTTGAGAAGAATGTGCTTTCGGGATCGACCAGTGCGCTACTGGGGACTGCTTCCACTCCGGACAATGCCAGGCCACAGAGAACGGCCACGGTCCAGCTAGTAAGACTAGGAGCCATTGCAGCCAATAGATATTTGTATCGATATCGACCAGCTTAATTGCTGGTTATTCAAAAATCGTGCAAGGGATTCGAGACCCCTCAAATACTCCGCAAAGCAATGGTTCCTTCTATTGTGTATGCGGTATGGATCGACGGCCTGCAGGAGCCAAAACTATAGCTGCTGCTTATTGAATCCCGGGGCCCAGACTGTTGCGGAGAGAAAGGTACCATTCCGCTAGCCTACACTGTAGCACCCGCACAGACGACAAAAGCGAGAACTTAGGCTCTAATGATTATTTCTTGTTCTCATAAAATCGTACATATCAATTACGCCACACTTCTGGGAAAGCACTAAGTGTTTTTCGTATGCTTTCAGCCATCACGGACAAGGATGGGCTTTGTTGGCATTCCTCTCCAAAGGCGTCGCGGGCCAAGGCAAGCATGTCCCATGTCTGCCTCGAAGCAAGAGGGGCGAGCAATGCATTCGAAGCACCAAGATGCGCGCCTATTGAGATGGCGAAGATACTGTTGAGTGTTAGGTCTTGCTTTTGGCTCGAATCGATGAACAGACTGACCTCGCGTAAATAGTCCACTTGTTTGGGACACATACATCCAACGCTCTCGTGGCATTGCTGATAAACTGACGATATGAGTGGAAGTAACTCCTGCAGCCGTTCATAGTGCTTTCACTAAGTTGTTGTGAGTCCATGACCTTGACGACTGCGGGCCAGTAGAAAGACACCATGCACGCCCAATATTGAGTGCGCAGAAAGATGATCGGGTCTGATGAGTCGGCATCAAGCTCGCCGGGTTCCAGGGAAAAGCGTAGAGGCCCTGGCAGAAAAGAATACCATCTTGCAACCTGGACTTCTAGCTCTTGGGCTATCAGAGGCGCGTAGTCAGCCTTGCCGTCGGTCGAAACTGTAATTGCTGCAGTATTTCGCCGCAGAATCCGTCTCATAGATATTTCTGCCAGGAGGTAAGTCACAACATTGTCAGAACGGCTTCTTTCAACCGTTTCGTCCATATCAGAGTCTTCCTCAAATGACCATATGTCAGTGCCCGTGGGCAAGGGGATTTCTTCCTCGGTCTCCCATGCGTTGCTGTCTACAAGTCGCAGAGGTATAACAAGCTCTCCTTCAATGAGCAGTGCAATTCGATATACACGGATCCAATGCTCGTAAGCCACTTGATCGTCTTGAAAAGCCCCAGTAATGTGGAGATCCTGCGCCTTTTTAATCGCCATTGCGGCAAGATCGTGCGCTTGCAATGGTTTAAGGAGTAGGCAATAGTGAATGCTCGCAGCGACTAAGCACTGTACACTTCGCAAACTCTGTTCCAGAACAACCAGTTGCAACATATCCAGTGCTAGATTCAGGTACATGGCATCCGGCCGACGTTCGAGTGCTTCGGCATGCGTTTTTTCTTGAGCTACAGACCCGCTCGCCAGTATCATAAGAACCAAGAACGTATCGGTACGCCGCTCAAAGGAGTTAGCTAGAACAGACGATATGCACTCCGAGAACCGGCTTTCAAGTATGGGATACCATGGGTGTATCTTGACCGAAAAGCTTTGTAAGGCGGCCATGGCCTTGGGGTGATTGAGGACGAATAAGCCGCCAGCAGAAGTAGAAATTGCGTGTGCGGCTCGCTCTAGTCGAATGACATCGTTTCCATAGTTCTCCCCTAAACCCGCCAGTCTGGTAAAAGCGCATGTCTGAAGTTTCATGTATGGGAAGCCCCGAGCGTCAAGCAGCTCTGGGCTTGCCGATACGCTGGAACCTCCAGCATGGGCTGCCCAAGGGCTGGTTGCAGCTTCAGAGATCGACCCGACATCACGGCGCCGGGTGAACTCCACCGATGCAACGGCTTGTTCGATTCGGTCTAGCTGAGATCGAATCTGGGAAAGCTCTTCCTCGACGCTATCACTCTTGGTTAGTATCCTGGGTCACTCAAGCTTCGGCCTTGTGTGGCATACTTGGTTGCTGTGCGTTTGTTTCCCTAGCAGTAAGGATCAGTAGTTGTCTCACGGCGGGTCTCGCCCTGCGGGTCACCTACCTCCGGATACTCGCATACACTTCTCCGCGTCTCGCACGAACCGCAAGTTGGCTTGCGGCCATCACATCTAGTACGGCGGGAGCGACATGGCTCACAAGCGATCACTCGGAGCTTCCGGGGTTGCTCAACGCGGGTTGGAGATGTCATTTCCGCAGGGGCATGAAGAGAATGTCGCGGAATTCACCCCAGATTTCCCCTGGTTGCATTTCCTTTCCCCGCTGTCCCCACGCGCGGAGGAGCTAACCCGATTCAAATTTCGGATTGGATGGCAGCGAACTCTCTCGGCCCAATAGATGCCCCACCCCCACGCCAAAAATGGCTGGAGCTTTGATCTAAAGATGGTGAAGTGTCGGCTGGATGCGCTGGTGGATTAATTGCATCCAAGTAGGTCCACACCAGCTGAGGATCCCAACGAGAAATAGACGGGGTGTGACCTGGCAAGAAAGTTTTTAAAAGCAAAAGTCAACCAGCTCTGCATTTGTGCAGCTTCTTGGTCTATCGCCATATTGTCTGTCCTCTTCCACGGCGCACAAACCAAAACGATGCTCGGACCGGAAATGTTCACAGCAATCACCCAGCACACTCAGTCTAGGAGCGCTCGCGTCTCCAGCTGGGATCATTCAGGCTTGAATGAAGACGCATTCGTCGTCCAGCCCGGGGAAACGGCCGTGCTGGCAGACATCGAAGGGCCCGGAGTAATCACGCACTTGTGGTTTGTGCAGGCATGCCGCCGCATTTTGGGCCCAGGCCTTATCCCATATTCCAAGTCGGGCGTGGCCATGCAAGAGGTTGAAAATGGCCAAGGCGTCAATTATGAAGTTATGGATCCAGACTACTACCGCAAAGTGCTCATTCGCATGTACTGGGACGACTCTGAAACACCTAACGTTCTTGCGCCGCTCGGGGACTTCTTCTGCGTTGGTCATTCAATTGCGTCAAATTTCCAGTCGCTTCCTTTTACGGCATCTGTCAAGCCGACTGAAGACAAGAAGTTTGGAGGAGCGGCCGCTTTGAATTGCTACCTTCCAATGTGAGTCGACTTGCGAGGGTATTCATTCCACCTTTTCTTCTAATTGCCGCAATAATAGGCCGTTTAACAAGCGAGCTCGTATCGAGGTCGAGAACCAAAACGACATTGCCTACTTCCAGTACTTCTATATTGACTATGAACTGCGCGCAGAGCCTCACCCTGAAAATACGCTCTTCTTCCATGCTCACTGGCGGCGCCAGAATCCGACCCCGGGATGGGCACCTCCGGATCTCCAAACGAACTCCTTGGAAACGATGGTGCCCAATCTCGACGGGAAGCAAAACTATGTTATTCTTGAGACGGCCGGTGCAGGAGCTTACGTCGGATGCAACCACTCCGTCTATCATTTTCAAGGCACATGGTGGGGAGAAGGCGACGACATGATCTTCATCGACGACGATACCTGGCCACCATCGATGCACGGCACTGGGGCCGAGGACTATTTTAGTCAGGGCTGGGGCATGCAGAAAAACGCCTTCCCCTTTGCCGGATCCATTATCCATGAGGGTGAAATGCCGGCGTACCAAGTCTCATACCGCTGGCATCTCCCGGACCCTGTGAAGTTCAATACCAGAATCAAAGTCACCATGGAGTACGGGCATGCTAATCACCTAAGCGATGATTGGAGCTCGACAGCCTAGTAAGTATTTCGGGTTTCCTTCTATGATAACGTCGTCTAATTGACCGATAGTTGGTATCAAACTCTTCCAGGGCCCAAGCTGGATATTCCTCCCGTGTCTGGGCGTCTCCCTAGACGGACGGAAATTATCCCGCCTGTGTCAGACCAAAAGCCCGAGCTGGATGAGAGGAGGATGAAGATGGTTCAGCAAAGACAGGAGAGGCTAGACGCTTTTGTAGCCGATAAGTTGAAATGGCTCGAGCGAAGGGCACAAGACAGCAGACAGCGTGCTGCGAAGAACAAGGAGGATGCGGCGGATGTTCGGCGTAGATTTTTGGAAGCTACCAAGAAATAAATTATCAAAATATACTTTTGTTTTTCCTTCTTTCCATCATTGTTGCCATCCTCGAAGTACATACTTGGGAGTACGTGAGTGAGTTTTTGACTCTAGAAGACCACCAGGAGTGTGAAAGACACTCTATTCTCGACAGCTGATCATGACCGGCATTCTTTGCCGAACCAGTTTCCACTAGTCTAACTACGGCATCATTTGAGCCGAGCGCGGAGAATTTTCAAAATTCCCGCGCCCCTGTCGCCGATCAGTGACTTTAGCTTGGTTCCCCGCGTCGCCGGCCACATGAATGCGGGGTGGAGCTGTCCATAGCGCACTAGAACACGATGAAATTAACCGCAATAATCAATTAAAACACGAGTCAGTTCTTTGTGTGAACGCATGCAATGATGAGATTAAATATCCTCGAATCACCCGGTATTCTGGAGTTTTTCTAGGTCCATTCTCCTGACCACTGACCATTGTCGAGAAATTTTCAAGCATGGCTCCCTCCTCAGCATCGTAAGGAGACGCTCAACACACCCATCGAAAGCAAATATAGACGGGCTGACAACTTGATAGAATCGACTACACGGTGATCAACCCAGCTCAAAAATGGAAGATTCTCCGAGTACAATGGCGGTACGGACTATGGGGTAAGGAACCTGAACTCTGGCAACCGAATAATACCTTTCTGACATCCGAAAAGCGCTATGGACATCCATCGGTTCCATGATGCTTGGCTTTGACTACGTGATCGGCAGCCAGCTAGCAGCCCTATCAGAGTTCCAAAGGTTCTTCGGCGTCCAACAACAAGACGGAAGCTGGATCGTTCCTGCGTCGTACCTTTCAGCCTGGGGTGCGATCGGGCTTGGGTGTGACGTGGTCGCATCGTGGCTCGCAGCACCTGTTTTGGAAAAATATGGACGGAAACCTCTTATCCTCTTCTGCGCGGGAGTGTCCACGGTTGCCATTATCCTTCAGCAGATGGCTACCAATTGGAGAGTGCATTTGGCGGGCCGTGCAGTGAATGGTTCGTCATTTTGCCAAAGGTTCATCAAATGTGTCCCGACTAGACTTGCTAATAAACGAGATCTCCAGGCATCTCCATTGGTATAATGTTCACCATCTCACCATTGTGGATTGGAGAGACCTGCCGTCCTGAGCTTAGAGGGTTTTGGCTCTGCTTCTGTGAGTACTCTAGATTCCATTCATATATAAGGCGCGTTTGCTGATTGAGTAATCTTGCGATAAGTCAATACCAGCATTATCTGGGGGCAAATGCTTGTGTAAGTGGCCAAGAATTTCAATATCTATCTCAAAGGGAGAGAATGGATGCTAATGTCACTTGTTAGTGTTATCGTGGCTCGTGCAAGCAGCGGGCTTCAAGACAAGTGGCAATGGTGGATCCCCGTGATTTGCATGTATATATACCCGCGTAAGTGTTGCCTCGCCTGACTGTTGCCATATATACTAACAAGTCGACCAGTGATGCTTGTTCTCGTCTGGCCATTCTTCCCAGAGTCACCATACTGGCTAATCCGCGAAGACAAGCACGAAGCTGCGAGGAAGTCGCTAGAACGCATGTATGGAGTTGACGACCCGACATTCTACGACATTGAAATGAAACGCCTCCAGGAGGACGTGAATTTCTGCGAAGATCGAGCAGACGGAACCAAAAGAGTTAAGATGATCTGGGGGTGGATCCCCTCGCCCACTGCCGAGCTCGAATGCTTCGATAAAAAGAACCGCAAGAGGACGCTGACTGCGATCTGTGCCGCCAGCTCACAGCAGGTCATCGGAGCTGCCTTTGTTATTGGCAATGCCACATATTTCCTGGATCTAATCGGCATTAAGGAGTATTTCGATGCGTCAGTCGCACTTTACATCATCATGTTACTATCCTCAGTAGCGGCGTTTCCACTCAGCGAGATGATCGGCCGTCGGACATTGATTGTACCCTCGAAATTCGTTCTTTGCTTTTTTCTGCTTTTGATTGGCATCATGGGCTGCGTGCCCGATCAGACGAAAGCAGGCTGGGCAATTGTCGTGTTCATCTATCTGTGGGCCATTGTCTATCAAGTGAGCATAGGTGCCACAGGCTTTGTGCTGGCAAGCGAGGTTGCTACTCTGAGGCTTCGTGCCGGTACTCAAGCTCTCGTTACGATGAGCAATGGTGTCTGGGGACTCATAATGCAATTCACTATTCCATATATGGTATGGCGCTTTTGAAGACACCATTGACAGGTTGAAAGCTGACAAGCAGTTAGATTAACCCAGATGCCGGACATCTCGGCGGCAAAGTCGGCTTCATCTTCTTCGCGTTGGGACTTGTAGTATCCATTTTCGGCTGGTTCCTGTACCCCGAGACCAAAGGCGTCCGTTTTGAGAAACTTGACGAGTTGTATGCGCAGGGAATTAAGCCTCGCCATTTCAAGAAACACGAGAACGCTAGTGATTTGGACAACCAGATTGGCAGGGAGGAGATCAAGGCAAAGGCTTAGATTGATGATCGTGGCATATCTCAATGCAATTAATTTCTTATTCACCTCAACGCCCAAAGATGGCAGCAAAAAGGTCCATATCATGACCACTACCTCCTTCCATCATGCAGACATCACATCCAGCTGGCGAATCCGATAGTCCCAGTAGTTTTTCCGAATCGGATCATACTTCTCCTTCAGCAGGGTAAGCATATCCGCTGCCTTGGTACTCTGCCCTCCGGCCTCGGCATACACATCAGCCAACCACTCCACAGCATGGCTACTCTTGACAGAGTCACCGTCCGCCGAAACAAACTGAGAGACAAACCCCTCCCACTCCGCCAGCTTCCTATTGGCCGCATGGAACACCCCACGGGCATACCACCAGGGGCTCCGGTTCTCAGGCGCCCGTAAGATCTGCTCCTGCGTGTAACGCAGCTCTAAATCAACAAGGTCTTCATCAACAACAGACTGCACGCCCTTCTCCGCAGCCGTGGACTGCGCATTTCCCGCATTGACCATTCCGGCGTCGGGCTCGTTCTCGCGTGGCCCGAAACGCAACATGTACCGGTGGTTCCACGCGGAGTTGTTGTGCACGTCAGCTTTGATCAGGGCCTCGACATCCTGGAGCTCGCGTGGTGAGTCCCACAATCGGTAATGACGCACTAACCAGTGTCGGTATGTCCAGACGTGGTAGTTCTTTGCGTCTTGAGCCAACATTTCCATTAGAAAGTCCGGCTCCTGTGCTGAGAGCTCAGGGAAATGTGTCCGGGAGGACATGAGGGCTTGACGGTGGCCCCTGTAAATATCTCAATCAATACATTTGCTTCTTCATATCCAGTGAATTGAATAAAACATACCAGATCTGGTAATTTTTGAGATATTTAAGCGACACCTGATTCAGCCATTCCAATTCTTCATCCAAGTCTTTTTCGAGCGCGAAAAGTATCTTGGCTCGGTAGATCCTGATGGGCTTGATATTAGCCTGCCCGCATCAAAACAAAATGTAATGTCGCTACTTACCATACGGTGTAATGAGCCGGGTTCATCGAGATCACGTCTTCCGTCAACTTCAGCGCCCGCTCGGACATTTCATTTGCGGCCATCACGGCGCGCAGATACGAGGTCAACTCGAGATACTCGGGTGGGTAGGCAATGGTAGCCAGCGGGGCCGCTCCGGAGTTAGAGCCATCGTCTAGGGGAATTGGTGTGATATCGGCCCATTCAGGGTCGGTGGAGTAGTCCTTTTCCTCCATCTTGATGTGTGACTGTGCTTTGAGAGAAGAAGAGAAGAGGAAGATATGAAGTGAGGGATGGTGGGGCCGTTGCTGCCTGAGGCCACAATCACAAAGAACGTGAACAATGTCAACGCCTTGCTATTCTTCTGCTACTACACAATGGTGATTTCCTGATTACATCAATAGTGGTGGTGCCAGAGTCTCTTCCGTTCATCCACCCACCACCGTCCCACTTTCGCCGCGACCGCCACCCACTCAGCGGCTTTGTCGCCATGCTGTTCCCGGACTCGGTCTATGGCCTCTTCCAGCGTCCAACCGCGTAATGGGCTCAATTCGTTGGGATCGGTGTCTAGATCCGAAAAGACAAATTCAAAGTCTGGCGTCAGCGGCAGAATAAGTCGGTACGGTACAGCCGCAGACCCGACACTGAGCATCGTGCCCCCGGAGTTGATGATGCCGAAATTCCACGCCTGCCGGCCATTGTGGGTAGCCTGGTACGGACGAATGAGCGATTGTCCCTCGTATTCATTCATCAGATCTTGTGCTGCAGCCGAGTCCTTCTCATTCAAGGATTTTGTGTTCACCAACAAGTCCAGAATGGTGGGCACAACCGACATCGAGGTTGCGTTGGCTGTGATCTGAAGCCGGGGCAGTAGGGGATGTCGGAAGACGAGCGGGATGCGGAAGTTGCTGATATGCCCGTTCTCGTACGTACCCGTTACTGGTGCATCTTCTTGGAACGCCTGGCCACTGGGTCGGGGTCAGATTGGGCCAATTGAAGCCATTGGTGATCAACTTACTGGTCTCCGACAAGCACCACCAATGTCTCATTGGCAATGTTGTTATCATCCAACACTTTCAGCATATCACCCAGCCAGGTGTCCACGTAATGGACCGCGTTCAGATAATCGTTCATTTCCTCATGTTTCGCCATGAGGCTGTCGTCTGCAAAGTATTGCTCCTTATGGAAATCCTCGGGTGTAGACCAGGGATGATGGGTTGTGCTTGTAAAATGTGACAAGAAGAGTCGCTCGTTGTTCTCAAGTGCGCCTTGCACCACATCCTGCAGATAAGGGTATATCTCGCGCTCCGAAAAGCTGATTGAAGTTAGCGTGATCTATGAAGACTCGGAGAGGAGTACTCACCCAAAATAATTGATCTCCTCCATATGGGGATGGTAATGCTCGGCTATAGGCTGATCGATATCCTCACGATAAAGGGCTTTTGTGAATCCCATCATTCTATTGAGGTTGCTCTGCTCATCATACTCCCCGGTGATAGACTGCAAAAACACCGAAGTCCAGTTGCGATCTTGAAATCTACCATCATCGGTAGTCGACTTCGGTTGGAGTTGATTGAAGAGTTCCAAAACCTGCATGATACAGGGTTGGTAAATTTCGGCTTTGACTTCACCCATGAAATCAATCGGGAGCGGTCCCACCCCGCAGTGGTTCATAACTGCACTCTTGAATGACAGAGTGCTACCAGTGAGGACACCATTGACATTGATGCCACCCATGCCGGGTTCTGTAGAATCCTTCCATTCGGTCTCTAACGCAGGAGGATCGCCTTTCATTGATGAAAACCCACCAGACTCCCCCGTTAGCCTTTCTGCAACGGGTGTCAGACGAGCTAGCTTGTCATTGAGGTCGTGAAGAGCTGTCGCATCGAGGTTGTGATACGACGAGAGAATCTCCTGGTGTAAATGCGAGCCTGATTTCAGAGGGAAGATATCCTTGCGCGCACTTTCCATCATCACAAGAACGACATGAGTGATCGGAATATCGTGGTCCTTTAACGCTCGGGCAAGCGGCTCAACTAGTCCGTGGTTCAGATTCGTGATGCGCAAGGGATCGTCGACAGGGTTGTAGCAGCTCTTCAGATACTCTGTCGGATCTTGTCCGTTGAACATGATATCATCATTTTCCAGATTCGACCATTCTCTCCAGCGTTGAAATCCTGGTGGTAAAGGCCCAGCAGTCCAGGAGGGCTGGTTGGCGCCTGCATTTAGCTGTGTCATGCCCGGGGCCCAGCCCTTGAAATGACCATTGGAGGCTTCCCAATATTCCTCCCCAATCAATTCCGGCAACGGGAATGCTCCATAACCAGGCTGGTGATGCTCAACATGATTCGACAGAATCGCTTCGAAAAAAGTAAACGGCAAAGCTCTAGACATGTGGTTATAGGGCACCTGAGGCCGAACAATGCGCAGACCAAGGGTTGCGAGCATAGCACATATGGTCCAAAATCGAATAAGCCGTTCTTTACGGAACGTTTGCTGCAGATGGGCCAGCGGAAGCTCTTCATCCACCTTTTCCGGTGAGGGCGCGCTGAACACCGCTGACAGCCATTTGGTCATCCACGTGCATATTCCCGTCGTGCACATCCACGATACAACAAGGAGCAGCGTGGCTGCTCCCAGAAATGATCTGAGCCCACTGAGCATCAGCTTTCTTCCCTCTGGATCACTTCCGACGCTTGTTGCGGCATCCCAGCGGGTTTCACTGCCTGTGACGAAGTAGAACCCGATTTGGGAGGCGGATAGGACGAAGGTCAAGCATCTATATCGGCAGACTCAGTCAGAATGCTTTTTCTGTTTGTACAAAGTGTAACAGTTCGACTTACGATAGAAATGCCGTTATTCCTGCTCCAAGAAAAGACTTCAGACCCGCTGTTTTATGCAAGAGGAACCAAGCGCCTGCAAAGAGAAAGGGTTCCTGAATGAAGAATGTCGGAAAGTAAAGGACGAAAAGCGAGGGGGGAAGGGACCCTGCATGCTGAAAGAGATGCAATGTCTTCGAAGACAGTGCCGACACAACCAGCAGTGAGAGGACCAGGGGCCGGAGAAGAAGTGACGGACGAGCGACGATCATAATGGGCAGCAAAACTCCAAGACGGCCACGGCACGCATAGCGATCTCTCGATCAGTGTTCTGGTTTTGGCCTGCTCTAGTGGAGAGCATGGATCATGCCAATATTTGGCTTTGCCCTGCAAAGGAGTCAATCTTGGTTTGGGTGTGATAGAGTCCTACCACAGATCTATGGACAAGAGATCGAGACATCCCGGACAAGATCAATCAGACCGGGAAGGGTGCTCATGAGCCAATGCGGTGATCCTACATTATTTGTTTTGGCACAATCCTACATCCGGCTAGCTAGCCCACCGGTCCTTGTTGGCAGTTTTGTGGGGTCGAGTCGAGATCAGCCCGTACTTTGTATGGTAGGGTGTGCCTTGTAACATATTACGATCCCCTTTATTTCGTTCTCCTACGACTAGCTTCTTCCTATTCTTACTACTAGGGTAATCACAGCTCGCATAAGGTGTGCTGCGAAACGCCTTGGCTTCTGTCTCTGTTCATGGACCAATTCTAAGAACAGGAGTGTATATTCCATGCTGAAACAAATCGGACGAAAACGATCACGCTCATTACGGTTCATCAAGAGCCGTTACCAGGCATGTGGAGCCCGTTTTCGCCAAGGGACAGGAAGGGCAAGAAGTCAGACGACCGGTTTCCTTTCGTGCGGCTATTTTGTATCCACTGAGGCTAACTTGGTGGACTGATGCATACGTTGTGGTGGGAAAGCAAGCGGAAAGTGATTGCTAGGAGCCGTTCAGGGTAATAGTTACTTGGCGCATTGTCTGTGCCAGGTTGTTCCACGACTGCAAATTCCGGGCCACACCTTAAGTTATGGAGCGGCTCGAAAGGGTTGTCTCAAATCCGAGAATCTCAATTACGCAGGGCTCAACAGCCCCTTTGTGAAGTTTATCTGCTAACAATCCAAACAGGAAAGTCACACTATTAGCGAGGCTTGAATTCTCACTCGGAGCATGGCCAAAAAATTTATTATTATCAAGGCCTTCTATCAAGTGTGCATCCTGTCCATAATGGATTTCGTGGCAATGATTTTTTGGAAAAAATCCAACTCCAGAATCCTGGAATGTCCGGACCAAGGGGGATGATATCCTGGAAGTATGCTCCCTTACTTGATTGGAGGATTGGTGAGGTCAACATTCCACTTGACCTCGGAGGGAATGTTGCACTTTTGCAGTCTAACTGAGCAGAATGCTACAAGAGTCGGTCGAGGCAAAGAGCAAAGAGATGGTGGGCTGGTCTGCACCCTACCAGGCCGCTTTAGAATTGCTGTTCAAGATAATTATATTGTTCCACAACCAATGGGAGTCTCCATCCCTGCAATATACAATCCACTACTATGTTCTTTTATTCTATAATTTCTTAGGGTACTCTCTAGGATAATACTCTTAAATCACTGGTGATGGTTATGGTACAAGTGTGAAAATATACATCTCTCACCCAAATGTCTCCCCGCCATTCTCTAGATATTCCACCTCTTCCGACGTCGAGGTTCTACCCAAAGCCTCATTGCGATGCGGATATCGCCTAAACCGCTCAATGATGACCTTGTGTCTCTTCTCAAACTCGATATTCATAGTCAAGAACTTCTTAAGCTCATCTCGCTGGCCAGACAAAACGTGATGGCACTTCGTTTCATCTTCAGATAAGGCGCCGACATCTCTGCCAATGAGCTCTTCTATCTCCGTGGCCATGATTTCAGACTGCTCGAGGAATTTCTCATGCATTTTTAGTTCCTCGGAGTGCATTAGAGGCAGATGAAACCACATGCGGTAGGCCAGCCGATATCTCAGCTCCGGTGATTGAGAAGCAATTCTCTTCTCACTTGCATGCATGGCGATCGCATTGGCTAGCGGATCAAAACGGGTAAATACCAGCTTTGATTCAGAACCACGGTAGCAGTTTCGAGAGATCTGATCCAGAAGGATAAGGGTGTAGAGCCAAGAGAAAGGCGAGGCTGTGTTGATTGTTTCTAGAATGTCGGTGGCCGATGCTTCGGAAATAAGAATTGATTCTAGCACAGGGCGAAATTTTGCACTGATTATCTAGATTAGTACTTTTTTGAAAGGCAGGTAAAGACAGCGGGTGGCAGACTTACACACAGGTCTTGTCGAAATCCGCGTCGCGTCTGAACCAACGCTGCAACTCATTTTGACTTGGGAGAATCAGAGAATTTTCCTCCTCACAATGACCAAACCAGAGTTGATGCACGCTCTCCAGGAGATCTGGCGTTAGGGTCTTTTTCAGCTCCGGCGACGCGCTAGCTATGGTTGCAGTCGAATGGAAGCATCGGGGGACCGCGCGAATCCAGGGGCGCGATGATGGGGGATAGCGTGGATGCTTCCAAGCCGGCTGAGCAAGTCGGCTTGTTGGTCTGATCGACAAGGCCCGCACGAGTCTACCTGCCATGGCCTGAGAGATAGAAAGAGACTTGACTGGAGACTTGGCCAAGAATAGTGATCAGCATCTCCAATCCGGACCAAACAGGTAAAAGTTTCCCGTTATCGCGATCCACCCCGCACTGACCTGGAGACAATTCTGAACTCTGTCGGAGATCTCTTTGACGGCTTCATCTATCTCTATCTCTCCTATGCGCAATGCGGCGAGTCAAGAAGTCGCGTCACGGCTGTGCGCGATGCAAGAGTAAACGGGTTCGTTGTCCCAGTTACCGCTCCAAATCCTTGATCGGGTGCTAACAAAATCAGGTCAAATGCGGCGAAGAGAAACCTCATTGTAGCCGCTGCACACGTCTGGGCGTGCGCTGCCCGGGCTATGTACAGTCTCTGCGCTGGATAACCAAGCATGAGCAGTCGGATCAGACTTCCAGCGCATCTATATCAAATGAAAACAGGACGAGCCCCGCTTCGTCGTCAAATGTGCCGCAACAGCAGCAGCAGCCTGAGCACATCGGCCATGTTTTACCTTTGAATGACGACCCAGTCCAGCGGCCGTCGCACGACAATACCGCCACTCCAAATCTTGGGATGGGCGGACCAAACCCTGTCTGCGAGAACTTGTGGGATCTCCCCGGGAACGGGTCTTTGCCTGAACTGTCCGACCTCTGTCCGCCATCTCCCGGCCCAGGTCCAGCGTCCTTCTCGCCGCAGCGAGGCTCAGTCTACAACCTTGGACGATCGGGAGATTCTCCCGGAGATTTGTCGCATTTCCTGTCTCTTATCGGTCCACCCGCCCCGAATGACGAGGAGCCCGGCAGCATATACCGAGACTTTTCACCGTCGGCCATCGTCCGAACTTATCCTCCAGCGCTGCATCCTTCAAAATCACGCGATTTCATGTCCATCTCTTCTCCGCTAAACAATCCGTCATGGACTCTGATCGAATACTATTTCAAGGAAGTTGCAGCGCTGTTCTCAAGCTATGATAGCCAAATGAACCCGTTCCGGACAACGGTCTCCCGGCTGTGGGGGTCCTCGTTGGCGATGTGCCGAACAATGCAGAGCATGGCAGCTGCAACGCTGGTCAATGACTTCCCTCAGTTTGGGCCTCTGGGCCGGAAGATGCGCAAGGAGGCGGTGGACATCATCACCCGCGAAGCAGTCATGGATGACAAGGCCCTCTTAGCACTACTCATGCTCGGTCAGACGGCGAGCTGGCATGATCCGACGGATCTGGGGATTTCGTTCTTCAACCTGCTGCGCAAACAGCTCAATACTATTGCGTCGTCCTCGTCCCACTGTCCGGGATTTGACTTTACATCCAAGAACTCCAGTAACAACTACCGGTTTTTCGAGGAAGCCCTTATCTACTGGGAGATGCTCCTGTCATTCGTGACCGACAACGACACGATGGTGTTCTCTGACAATTCGCGATCCGCAACATCCATGGGTGAGTCTCTAGTTCTCCAACGAGTCCCGCATCCTTGGACCGGCATCGCGCGAGACACCCAGTTTACCGTCCACGAAGTTGGACGACTAGTCCGACGCGAGCGGAAGCGAATTCGAACCAGGCGCTTCACTTCTCAGGACGACATCGCGCGCGCCCAGATGGCCATTGAAAAAGCGCGAGAACTAGAAGCTCGGCTCCTGGACCTCGCCCATCCATCTGAAGCTGAGATCGTGAGTCCCGGCGACGACGATACTCCAGTCTGGCACCTCCTCACCATGGCCGAAGTCTACCGTTGCACGGGTCTGATGCAACTCTACCGCGTCTTCCCAGACTTGCTACACAGTCGTCTACCGTCTCCTGGACCACAATTCTCCGCTGCTGCAGCGTCTACACCCCGGGATCCGTTCTTCCCAATCGATCTCGAAGGCATGGATATGCCTCCGGGCTTTTGCAGCAATAGCCCTGCAGGTGCTACCAACAATAATAATAACCCCCAGAATACTGCCCCGTCACCATCACTACGCAACCAACCTAACCTCTACCCTCCCTCACCCGGCCGACCATCCGCAGCACAAAACCCACCCGAGAGCTTTGATATAGAGTCCGACCCCGACAACTCCTTCTACGAAAACTGGCTCACCGAATTCGCCGTAACAACCCTCAACCGCCTCAAAACCATCCCCCTCGAATCCCGCACAAGATGTCTCCAGCCCTTCTTACTTGTTGCATCAAGCAGCGAGCTCCGCCTTCCACGCACATGCACACCTCACCAACCTACATCTCCACTCAGCCAAGGCAATACCAACGACCATAACTATTACAATGAAGAAACAAATAACGACACCGATAATTATAACGATAATGACGACGCTGATAGCAACGAAAACCAAGGCCCCGCCGTCTCAATGGCTGCCATCGAGGTCTCGCGCACACGGAAATTCATCCTCGGCCGTCTCACCTCGTTTCTGCATGTGTTGCCTCCGAAACCGATTAATGTGTGCTTAAAGCTTGTTACTGAGGTGTGGAAAAGGATGGATGCGGGTCAGGATAGTGGGACGTTTTGGATGGATGTTATGATGGAGAAGGGATGGGAGACTACGATGGGATAAGTGGGCGGTGGGGATTTCTACCCCGATTGCGGATTTGGACTTTTGCAAGATACCCTTCCTTTTCTATCTTCTGCTGTTTGTATATACGGTGCAATCTACATTAGTGGTGTGTATAGGTTGAGCCTGACTCTCAGTGAGATCTATCAACTTTGAATTGTCATGCTAGAAGTACTGCAACTCTGCTCTGTGGTATAGCTATACACAATGAATTAGATAGTGATATGATCAGCAATAACTCGCCCAATATGTGAGCCTTAGGAATAATAAAACAGACCCGAAAATAAGACATTAAACAAACCAGGCAAGAGACGGCTAAGCCTGCGCCGCTCGCGTCCAGAACTTCCATCCTTCTCTCCGCTCGTGCACCCCAACACCAACAAGGCGCTCGATACCCTCAGGCCCATCGGCATTCTCGAATTTTTGCTGATCAATCTCCTCGCCGCCTTCCTCGTCAGAGCCATTGCGCAGCACCGCGGGCCAGAGAACCCCAACGCCGTCTCCACCGAGAACGGTTTCGTATTTGATGAATCCCTCTGAGGAAAGCTTCTTCTCTAAATCGCGCACGACTTCCTTCTTCGCGTCTGGGCGCAGGAGCGTGATTGCGCAACCGCCGCCGCCGGCGCCGGTCAGCTTTGTCCAGCCAATGTCGGCGTAGTCGACCAGCTCGCGGATTCGTTCCAGGCGCGGGTGGGAAACACCAAGCGAGACCAGGCACCCGTGGTTCATGCGGATAAGAGTGCCGAGTTGTGCCAAGTTCTTTTCGGGAGAACTCTCGAAATCAGGGTCGTCGACAAGTTCTTGCGCCGACGTTGATACTTGATCAATGGCGTTAAGAATAGACTCCGTCACTACGGGATGTGATTCCCTGAGCCGGAAGACCTTGTCGACCTCTGCCTTCGTGGAGCGGGATTGTTGTGTGTCGACGAGCAAGAGAGGAAGTTCGGGGAAGTTAAGGAGGGGAGTGACCTCCGGAGGCTTGTTATAGTCTTTGCGGCGAAACATCACGGCCTTGCCGCCCGCGGCGACCGTGTTATCCACCCCACTGGGATTTCCATGAATGCACATCTCACCCACAAACGCCCATCGGTTGATGCGCTCGATCTGTGTCTCTGCCTCCTCGGGTGGCTGGTCCGGGTGCGGACCGGCCAACGTGCGGATCTGAAGAAGGAGTGCGGAACTCAGACACACACAGACACTGGCGCTGCTACCCAGACCGGCGCCGGTGGGAATTGTGGATCGGAGAGTGTAGACGGCGCCTGGGCTTTGCGGGGATCCCAGGGAGAGAAATAGGTAGAGAAAAGCGAATGCGCCGCCCACTTGGTGCTTGCGGATTTCCTCCGACATGCCTTTCCCCACGCCTTCGAGGTGCGGCTGGGTCGCGGCGACGAGTTCAGGGTCGAGGGAGGTGACGAGGTCGTAGTAGTACTTCTTTTTGGAGGGCTGGTGGAAAAGGTCCCAGGGCAGGGCGTCAATGTCCCACGTGTGGTCGAGGCCAATGTCTCTGAAATTTAGGGTGACGGTGCGGTGTGACTTGGAGAGGGTTGTGACGTGCAGGTACGATCTGAGGGAGATAGCCGCTGCCATGGCTGCCTTGCCGTGGACGACAGCGTGCTCACCGAACACAATGGCTTTGCCTGGAGCAGACACCATGAAGGCGGGCGCCATGGGCGAGGATGCCTTACGCGACATGGCCGGCCGATTTGTTTTCCCCGCGCTGTTCACTTGAGATGAGTCGGTGGAGGATGCGCTGTCGGAGAGACCGTCCGAGTCGACTTGGCCGTTGCCGTTAATTGAGGCGCGAGACCGAACAGGGAGGCCGTTCTGCGCGCCGCTGGGGAGGGGGTGGGTAGGCGTGCGACGCTGATTGGAATTGAAAGGTTCGGCTCCGTTGGTCTGCCGCAGACGTTCGGTCATGGTCTGGCGGGGGTTGCGGGAAGAAGAAAAGGGGAAGAGGAAGGAAAGGGATTAAGAAGTCGACGGGCGATGAACAATACAACAATGGGCAACAGGAAAAGTGAAAGAAAGGGAAACGGGGGACACGGGGTTTGGCGGGTCGCTGCCTCCCCCGCTCGGGGGCCAATAAGATGGCCCGAATTGGGTATTGGTCAGCGTGTTAGTGTAAACTAAACAGACGAAATTAGAATTTTCTTTTTTCTAGGCTAAAAGATTCGATAATTCTATCGTTTCTGCAGGGTATTCGCCTTAGAGCTGGTTTAGGTTAGTGTGTGCGGCGCAGTGCAGTAGCTTCGCCGGGATCGTCTCTATGTGTATCCTTGTCAGGATCCTCACGTCAGCTAGATCAGAAAGGAGAACGCCGCATTGAAAATGATTACGTGTGGACGGTTGACTCTCGAATACTCGTTTGCATTCTCTGCTATCAGCTATTCACATGGACACCTATTGTAATGGCGTGTTGTTACTCGACCTACGCCTGTCTAATTCTCCTTCCACATTGACGGCACACTAGAAAAGTTAGCCCTGTTGCCTACTAATCAACTCAAAGCCGTGTTTCACTTACGCCACTTCAACAACAGCACATCGTCCATTGCGGACAACATCTGTTGCCTCCTTGAGAGCCGGATCCAACTCCCCCGATGCCTTGACAGTAGCACCCCATGCACCCCCAGCAGCAGCGGCTATTCCAGGGTAGTCAGGCGAGGGGTTAAACGAGAGATTGAGATCTAACCAGGTGTTAGTTTTAGAAAACACATAGGCTGATTGGACATACCACTCCTGTTCGACTTTGATGACAAGCCATCCTTGTGGACAAGGAGCGCCGACACCTTGGGTGCATTCCATCCGCTGTTGTTCAAGACGATACACAGGAATGGAATGTTATAGCGCCGGGCAATCCAATACACGCTCTCCATCTGGCTGAAGAGATATGTTCCGTCTCCGACGCTGTGATGGCATTAGAATTTAATATCTCGTGATTTGGAGACACTCACATTGCACAAATGAAGGAACCTGGCTTGGCTAACTTGACACCCAGCGAGGCACCGCCACCCCATCCCAGGCCACCGGCCCCACTGCCGACGAGAGAACCTGGCTAGAATGATTGTAAGTGCTGTGAAGCCATCGTCAGATTGAGTAAACCTACCTGAGTTAGGTTGAGGTGGTTGATAACAGCGCCCGCGTTGGTGACAGCTTCCAGAACATAAATGGTGTCGTGTGGAAGGATGTTTCGCAATCTAGACGTCAAGTACGGGGTACTGATGACACCTTCGACAGACACAGTCTCCAAACTCCGTAAGGTTTCCCGCCTGCTTTGATAGCGATTGCTGCGTGCTTCAAACGCTTCGGTGTAGCGCCCTCTGTCAATGCTTTGCTTGTCCAGAAAGGCATTGAGTTGCTTCAACGCAATCACGCAACTGACTCGGAGTCTGCGAGTCATACTGATAGAAAATACTGGACATCAATGATTAGAAAAATGGCCTATGTAAAGGGGTCTGGGTAAGTACGCGGCATTTGCTGTTTGAGCGGATCAACATCCAGATGGAAGATTTTCGTTCCTGGACCGTCAACATAGTTCTAAAATGAAGAAAATAGGAACAAATACCTTTCTGTGGCTTTCCAGCGGTAGGGACCCATGGCACATCACAGTCCAGAATTAGAATCACATCAGCTTCGCAGACCTCTGGGTGTGTAGTAACAGTGACACCCAAATACCCTTCATGGTCACTCCGCAAGCACATATCAGAGCCTACCATTTCCACCACACTAATTGGCAGCTTATCGCAAAGCTCTGCCAGTAGGGAGGGGGCTTGGCGATTGCGACCCAGATATCCGGTAATGACCAGCGGTCTTTTGGCGCCTATTAGTGCAGCCGCAATCAATTCCACCTCTGGTTGGCATTAGCAGTATTCAGCTAGGCAAGAAAAGGCTGCTTACCAGACTCTGGTAGTGCACTAGGCGCAATCGGACATAGGGCTTGCTCTCCGAGATATTCCCTCTCCACACGCTATAGTCCGTCTAGTCAGTGGAGTTTTCGCCAACTCAGGCTGAGGCAGGCTCACTTCTTCAAGAACCTCCCTCGCAGCAGTCAAATAGGCCGGGCCTTTAGGGTCTGACATAGCAAGCTGCAGGGCTCGGTATACCATCTCCTTGACATTTCGTCCGGTTTTGAGTTCGCCGGTGAATCGGCAATATTGGCGGACAATCGCTGCTTGATCAGGCACGTCTTGCACCCAATGTATGAATCTAAGAAATAATCAGCTCTATTTCCAAAGACTCTGGGAGTTTACTCACTCGGTCCTTGAGCCTAGCAGTTCCCCATTTTGAGTGAAGGGGCTGAGACCTGCAAAACACAAAACAGGCACTCTGCTCACTGAGGCATTGTGGATGGATTGCCCCATAGCCAGAGTTCCGCAATCGACGTGTACGAGAACACATTGCTATGTTTGTTTCATTTAGTGGAAGCATATGGATAGACCGGCAATTGTCATACCGGAATACCAGTGACCTGGGCATACCCCAGTGCTGCGGACAAGGCCACCAGCTCAGAAGGACAAGTAATGATCTCGGGAACCTTGGTACTGTTTTCTGTCATAAAGTGAGCTTTTTCTGATCTGAAAGAACGCAGCTGGGTCGCACCTTGCTTCGCTCTTATTACAGCTTCCAGGATGGCGGGATGGTCGCTGCCCCTATTCCTCTTGTCAGAGAAAAGTCAAACGCGGATTACCAGTAGACGAACAGATTAACAAAGCAATGAGTAACACCAGCCTCCGCTTCAGAAAAAAGTTAGCCAGCTTGTTCAGAAATTATTGGGGCCGTGTGACGCACTCAGTGCTTCGAAAAACCCCTCGGCTGCCGTTGTCAACTTGCCATGCTTGACAAGCTTTTCACGATCACCGGGGGAATCCTCCTCCCACTCTACGGGCCTCTTGCGTGAGTATTTCTTTGCGGTCATGTTGGATTGACTGCAGCGCTAGGTTCCTGCAGAGGTTTTTTTTTTTTTTTAGGTAGGTGGGTAATAAAGTTGCGGGTTGCCGGACTTTATAGTTTCCTCTCCTGCTTTATTTCCTAGTTTTTCCGAAGCCAACCTAGCCGTTCTTAACTTCGTCGAGTCGCGAGTGTGGGGATGATCTGGAGCAGTAAGGTGCTTACATTTCTGTTTACCCCACTTCGAATAACTTGGTGATCCTCGCGTGGAACTTGGTTCCTCGGGGTCTCCGCGATTGGATCAATTCAGTGTGGGGGTGAAGGATGACGGGGTTAACGAAATCCACTCTGCGGTAGTCTCTGCTCTTTTGCTTTGCACGATTTCCCGAGCTCCAAGTCCAGTTCATCTTTGTGCCCACACCGGCCTAGGAATAAATCATGGCAATAAATCAGGCATTACGTCTCGTACCGGCCCGGCTTGTGCAAATTATTGAGCAACGTGTATGGACCTCGGGTAGGGATCGGAGCTCCATAAATCTTGACAATAGTTAGTGCCAGGGCATTGAAAAGTCAGTTGCAATGAAAATTTAGCAGTCCGTAGCTTGTTCAACTGCAGATTAGTATGCTTAGAGAGTGGGACTTCCCAACTCGGGGAGATGCCTGGCCAATCAACTAGATGACATAAGCATAAACATTCATTTGTGAATCAAGGGTCGGGATCTCCGCGAAACATACACGTTAGACCAATTACCACAACAATTCCCCGCAGTATGTCGACCGTGCAGCACCAGAAGACTGGTCTCACGACCGGACTCCGCAAGAAAACAACAGAAGCGTGCAATCCTTGCCGTGCACGGAAGCTGAAGGTAGAACTGCTCGCCAGATCGGACACGCAGGGCAAATGGAAACTAATCGAGGTAGTGCAATGGCCTCCTGCCTTGTCAATCATGTGAGAACAGCCACAATCAGTGCGCTTATGACCCGTCTACGACAGCTAGTAGGGTCATTGGGTAAGTGGTACCAGAAACCCCCATTTTCCCTTCGAGCTAACGTGAAGCCTAGAGGGCTTGATATTATCAATGCAAGGGTGATCGAACTAGAGCGTGCGGTATTTGGCGAGAGGACATATCAGCCGAGCAGTGCAGTCGATTCACCAGGTATTTGCTTTCGGTCTCCTTTGATTTAGTATATACCAAAGCTCACGTCGCAGGGGGCGCTGGCCACACCACGGACCAAAATATCTCTGGGGTGACCATTTTTGACGAACACAATGTATCATCATACGGGCCTACCTCCACCATCGCGCTTCTCAAATCAATGGAGAACAAGCTGTCCTGGTCGGAATCAGCTGATGGCCATAGTACACGGCCAACGAAAAGACCACGATGGGAATTGACTGCGCCTCTGATTTCTCACTCCGAAAGGGTCTCGAGACTGGATATCTATGCATCCGCCGATCTCCAAAGCGAAGGCACTTGGAAAATACGGGAGCACCTTGCCAACGCGCATGTGGATTGTTTCTTTCTCACCGTCCATGATACAATCCCAGTCCTGAACGAAGACACATTCAGATCTGCCTATGGACTCTTTTGGAACGCACCCCCTTCAGACTCCACGAACACTCACACCCGTCAGAGTCAATGCATGATCTACTCAGTCTTAGCCTTGGGTGCTCTATACTCCAAAGCCGCAGCAAATGATTCCCAGTGGGCAGCCAATTATTTTGCCGAGGCCCAGAAGCTTCTTGGTGGTGCACTTGGTGGAAATTGCCTGGAGATTGTTCAAGCTACTATGTTGATGGTAACATTTCTACCCCTAAGGCCGGCGTTTTTATCCTTCTAACAATTATCAAGGCGACTTATGCACATCACGTAGCTCATCCCAACCGTCAGTGTTTCCTGAAATTATCAAATTTTCAATTCTAACACCGTCTAGTCGCGTATGACTACCTGGGCATTGCCATCAGAGTTGCATATTCAACCGGGATCAACCGAGACCTTGATTCTGCCAGCGCCGCTGCAATCGAGACTCAGGCTGCACTCAGGACATGGTGGACTCTGTATAGCTTAGAGTCGGAGCTCTGCCTCGAATACGGAAAACCACTGTGCATCCGGGAGACTGATGCCAAAGCTGCTTATCCACACGAGCCCTTGGTAAGGGTTATTAAACTCACCATTGAGCGCTTAACTAATTAGCTCGACAGGACCTGGCCGCAAATGCGAGCAAGGTCACGTTTATTGTTTTCATGGCCAAGCTCAGCAGAATAACTCGCAAGATCATTGATCTGGTATGTTGCTTTGATCGTGATGACATTGAAAAGAAACTCACTAAATCTGCTATTCAGCTATCGGACATCAGCGAGAAAGGACTTTCGATGCAGTCTTATGTGGGCCGGCTTATGAATCACCAAGCAGAACTTATGACATGGAGAGGAGAGCTGCCCATACATCTCTCCCCTAGAGATAGCGTTCCCACGTCGCGGCTCCATGTATTGGAAAACACTCCGTGGATACAGCGCCAGTACTACGAAGTGGAGCTCCGTGAGTAATCATTCCGAGTATATGAAAGGTATCTAATAGATTTCTAGACTTCAACCATTTGATGCTCGTCGCGCACCGCCCGTTCTTTGCCAATGTGCACATCTCGACGCCCTTTTACTCCTCCAGTATGGCCAGGAGCGTTTGCATTGGTGCTTCGCGAGAGACAATACTTTTAGCACACAAGGCTCTCGTCCAAGATCCTGGCATCGACCATTGGTCATGTTTCTACCATCGTGTTGTCTCTGCAACACTGGTAGTACTCATCTGCGCCTTTGATAGCCCCGCAGACGAAAAGGCTAGTCTGCTGGAATTGTGCTGGAAAAGTCTCGAGGTGTTTCGTCACATGCGCTCTGGCTGTCCGGAAAAGGGAATTGCAATGGTTCAAAGTGCCTTGGTCAGTCTATCAAGACCGCAGGTAATACAAACAGATGAAGAGGACTCTTTTGACAGATCAGATGATGTAATGGCTGTTGGATAGAAGTTATATTTGACTTAGATGGCTAAATTTAGGCTAATATTCATTAATACGAGCAGCAAATGACCTAACTTGCACATATTACAGCCAATCTATTGATGTTCCAAGAACAAGAGAACAAAATGACACAAGCCCACAACTCCTGCTTATTCTCGAAAATGTGCATTAGAATCGTGCGCGAGCAACATCTGAGCTATTGGATTGTCCGCCGCCAAGCGAATAGGAGGCAAGCCATTGGCTTTAGAAGGCACCGTAGCTCCACAAGAAAGAAGCAGCTTGATCAGGTCTGCACCATTCAACTCAGCGGCAATATGTAGTGCAGTTTTATTATAATCATTTTGGAAATTCACATCCGCGCCATTATCAAGAAGCACCGTTGCGACAGCAACATCACATCGACGAGCTGTGCAAAGTAGAGGGGTCTGGCCGGTAAAACTGATGGCATTGACTTGAGCTCCGTGGTCAATGAGTAACTTTATTATGGCCACATCAGTATGGTAATTAGGATCCGCAGCAACATGTAAGGGACTGATGCTTTCGTGGTCGTCTGCCGCGTTCACGGGGGCACCAAGATCCAGCAGCTGCTGAACCATTGGCAGTGATGACATTCTCGCAGCGTGTTTCAACGATTCCAACCCATCGTTCCCACTGAGGTCAAGGCCAGAGTCAAGAAGCATCTTCATCATTTCCAAAGAACTCCCAAACTGGACAGCACAGCGCAATAGGCTCGGGCCCAGGTGGTCGTCTGAGAGGTTCAAATTCGCATGGGCACGAAGTACCTCTAGTTTATGGATGTCTCCTGATATCACGGCAGCGACTAGCGGGTTATCTTGATGATGGCGAAGGTTATGAGTCCAGGGTTCAGGGCGGACAGGGGGGTCGTCGTAGGCACCGTAGTCAATCAGCAACTTCATGATAGAGGTACCCTGGTTGTATTTTATAGCCCTAGTCAGGGGCTTTGTGCCTCGGTCGTTCACGAAACCGGGGTTTGCTCCATTCTCAAGAAGAATCTGGACTATAGCTGTATAGCCATAGGTGACGGCAATCGTTAAGGGCGTGTTCCATTCAAGGTCGAACGCAACAATATCCGGGTTCGCTTTCAGGGATAATAGGGCTCTCACAGCCCATTCGTGGCGATTTTCAACGTTTTTGATCAAAGCGCTCCCTCCGGTATGCTCCACGTTTCTTTTGAACAGCTCAAGGATGAGAAGGTTGTACAGAGTGCGGTTGGTTATCAGAAAGTGCAGAATATCACTTTCTGAATCCAGATGGGCTGCAATTAAGAGTATTATTTCATTCGGAAGGGCAGTAAGAGGCATGTTATTGATGAAGGTATGTTAAAATCTTGCGAAACGAAGCTGAACAACTAGAGTCAGATGGGGGCTGTGCGGGACGACCCCGCTATTCCTGGATAGGCAACTATACTTCAGGCGACTGGGTACAAGGTGTGTAAATGTGGACAATTTCTAAGAGGGGAAAGTAAATGGTTATTTTGAAATAGCGCAGCCACTACGCTACTTGTCTTCTGGCTCTATAAAGCTTCGCCTACTATTGTTATATGTAATGCATTCTAGCTAATAAAAGGCTACCGTGGCCATGTTTGGATTTGGGACGAAAATACTCCTAGTCCCTGTTCAGATGATTCGAAGTTTACGTCAGTTTGGTGTATTCTTGGGGTAAGCTTTCTTTCCATTAGCCATACGTTCTTCGAAAGGCCTATGCGCTACACCAAACAATGGTTGCTATGCATCTAAACTATAAGAGTGACTGTCTGACTAGATAGTTAAAAAAATTTGAACAAAAAGCCATAGGCTCTATATGCATCAAAGTCCAAGAGAATTTGCAGCATATAAACAAGACACAAACTATATGCAGGGTCATCACTCGTCACAGGTTCATCGTCACGGTCATGCTATTGCTGTGGACCAGCAGGCACGGAGGCAGCCCTTGCCACAGCACCTCCAAATCATCCACGTAGGACATACTGTCCTCCTCTCGGAGGGAAGTACCCTCCACCGGCGATGGCAGTGTTGTGAAAATGACAGCGGTCTCGCCGCTCTGCTGAACCATCAATTCGTTCAAAATCAAATGCTGTGCGCGGCTTGGAAGATCGTTGAAACACAGAGGAATGGAGGCAGGTCCGGGGTATCCCGTTGCGGGCTGGTCGTTGTTGCTTGTGGAAGTGGGGGACGGAGCGGAGGGTCGCCGTGCATAGATAGAATCCAGCTTCTGGGCAAAACGAGGCGGCGAAGCGTTGGGGGCGAACATGATGGATGGCCCTGCCCCTTCCTCCTCTGTGTTGACTTTGGCTTCGGGGATTGGCGACGAGCTGAATCGATTGCTGGATGCAGAGCGGCTTATGGTGGGACGAGGGGCAGGGGACTTGCTCTTGGGCGATATTTCGTCATCTCCTGGTGCAACGATGGAGGGGATCGATTGAGCGCGTGTAGTCCCTTCTTGTGCTCTTGCAGTGCTGGAAGATCCTGCACTGGGACTGTCATCATCATTACTGGACCGATCAAGTGGTCGGAGCAGGCCCGATTTCGAGCTGCTCTCGTTTCGACCACTGGCCATGTCTTCCTCGTCACCATCATCAATTTCCGGTTCGCTGATATATGGTTCCAGATCGCTGTCCTCGCTATTTTCAGCTGAGGTCTCCGGACTATCGTAGTCGACAAACGCATCCAGTAATCGATGTGTTTGCATGCCCAGTGGGACACCCCCAAGAGCCCGAAAGCTGGACACAGATCGCTTTCGCGAGGTGCTCTGGATCAACCTCCTCAGGCCGGTCACACGTTGCTGTAAAGGCTTGCCTCCACTTTCCGGGCTTGAGGGGCTTTGCCAGGTGGCAACTTTCTGCAGTTGCTGGGCAGGGTCACCCACTGCATCCGAATCCTGAAAGTTCTGGAAAAGGTTGCGAGCTCGTACCACACCTAGCCACCATTCTTCTCCTCGCAGAACTGAATGAACATTATCTTCAGCGTCAGCTACCTCCGGGGAGGTATCGCCATTGACGATGATTCGGTAAGCCTTCAGATCGCCGCAGGCAAGCCAGAAGACCAAAACTTCGGCTTCTATCCGCAACTTCTCCAGAAGTGCTTCGACTCTTCCTCTTTCATCTTCCACGTCGGTCTCATACTCGACAAACACAGCCACTCTTAGTTTGTAGGTTCTCTTCCAAGATGGGACGGTGTTGAGAATGCAACCCAGTTGAAGGATAAGGGTATAAGTGTCGAAATTGGTCGTCAGGACGTTCTGCTTGCTTTCGGTATCAGCCCCAAGCTCAGCAGACATCTGAATTGGCCACAGGTCGATATATTTCTTTGTGTGACGGTCATGAGGATCGGGTAGCTCAAGGTCCTCGAATCCCTTAGCCACGGCGACATTAATTCGCAACTTAAACAAAAGGTCTTCGAGAATCGTGACATAAGTTTTGGAGCTCATTGTATTTGCCGAGGCTGCCTCTTCGGGCGCGTCATTGCGGGTGCCTGACGCAGCTGACAAACGTCTAGACTTGGTTGATTCTCTCCGCAAGCCGGTCATTGACACTGTTTCGACCAAGGACTGATTTTTTCGATATTGGTCAATCACGACAATGTTAGGTCGCATTCCTCCCAGTCCAGAATTCAGAACAATATTCCGCATTCCCCATTCCACCGCAGGCGATACAGATATATTGACAAAGGCCTTGATCTTGGAGTATTCAACGAGCTTGGTCCATGCTGTCTGCTGCCGGCGTGCTTCCGGGACCGCCGACGAGAAGTCTTCGTTTACGATGACATGTCCAAGAACAAAAAGAGCACCTTTCTTCAGCGAGTTACAAAAGGAGACCATTTTGTACTGTCTGTCGAGATCAGCCACAAATAGCAGAATCTGTGGCCGCCAGAATTTGACATGCTCTTGCCGCAGCCGGAGCAGGTACTTGCGGACCTGGTGGTAGATCAGGCTCTGGCTAACATCACCCCACGGTTTGGGTGGCGAACTGTAGTGGATCAACAAGAAAAGCACCACCAGAATGCCAACACAGCCTGTGGCATACAGACCGTCCACAAAGAACATGCTGACCCCGGAGACTAGAGTTCCAGCTGCAGCCGTCTGCCAGTTGAAGTAGTGAAACGACGGCCGAAAGTTCGGTGCAGAGCCGATCTTCAAGAGAAAGCAGGCCAGATTCGTGACCAGGAAAGTCATCAAGTAGGTCATGGTGACAAAAGACGCGATACGATTGATATCAAACAGCATCGTAAGTTGAGCAAACACGAAAGTCACAATTATCGCGTAAATTGGATCGTCAGTCTTCCGGGTTCCTTGTCCGAAAATCCCAAGTCCTGGGAGTAAACTATCTCGGGCAACGGCCTGGAGTAGCTTGGCAGATCCGATAACCCCCATCAGCGAGGAAAAGAATGAGGTCGCAAATTCGCCGAGAAGTATGACTGCATCGGAGGCATTGACCTGTGAGCAATTTAGTTGGGCCCGGATAGTACTTCCCAAAGAATGTTTCACATACGACCTGAATCACATTCACGTTATTATAAAAAGAATCCCTGGTGATTGAAGCTGCCATGGCCAAAATAACAAGCGTGTAGGTCATAAAAGTCAAAGCCAGGCCCGAAAGGGTACCTTTGGGGATAGACTTGCTCGGGTTCTTCAGATCACCAGACATGCTTGCACCAGCAAAGATTCCGCCCGTTGCAGGGAAGAGAATCCCAAACAGATCTTGAAAGTTCTCTCTCCCTTCGGTCTGACTACCCGCAGCGCCTTTTGTCAGGTGAGGTTTCAGATTCTCAAGCAGTGTCCTCACGCGGAGGCCCGTGAACTCGACTCCGTGTTCCGGCCAAGACGAGGGCTTCATGAAGATGGCCGACAAGGGGATGCTAAACGTGGCCACGAGTAGGATGACCAACAGCCCATTGCTCGCCCGTGCGAAAATTGAACTTCCGGCCATGCAGATACCGGTGCAGAAAACAAGGATAATCGTGCCCCACAAGTACTGCCACCAAAAGCCTTCCTGGAGGAAGTTCGCCCAGTTCCCTGAATGGATCCCAAAATTCTGGGTAAAGCAATCGACGAGACCAACAGCGTTCATGCCGGTATTGAAGACGGAGCCTAAATAAAAGACCAACCCAATGGACCCGCCAAACTCGGGGCCGAGAGACCGAGAGATCAGATAGTATGCACCTCCGCCTCTCACTGTCCCGTTCGTTGCAATTGCGGAAAGAGACATTGTCGTCACGAGATTGATCGTGTATGAGATAATGAGCAACACTTTGACAAATTAGCCATACTTTCCCAAAACCCTAGCCAATTTTGCATACCGAGAATGCCCAATACACCTGCCTGTCCTAGAATGAACCCAAAACGAAGGAACATCAGAATGCTCAGCACATTCAATGTCGTCGGAACAAATACGCCGGAAAGAGTCCCGAGCTTCTTGGGCTCATCGGTTGAGCGGAACCGATGCCCATGTTTGTGGTCCTTGTGGGTACTGGATTCGTGTAAAGGCCCGGCAGGAAAGATTCTCTCTCCGCTGCCTTCCTCTGCTTCCGTATTGCGGTCCCGTTTATCCCACCACTGAGCGATACCGCGAAAGAGGTTGGTAGGTACCGACTCACCCGGATCGAGGCGTGCGACGTCCTCCTCGGCGGTCCTGGTCGAGAAATTTGGGCGGCGGCGGGACATCGCGTCGGAGGAAGGCCTGTCGGTAGCCGTTCTGAGCAAGTAGATGTCGTGCCCTGGTTATCTCACATGGCACAGGGCTACCAGTTGTGTTTGTAGGACCAGCCAAGCGTAGTAGGTCGAAAGGGAAACAAGTGACGTGGGTGGGCGGGGAACAAACAGTGCAAATTCGGCGATCACTGGCTGACACTTGACCCCAAGCGTCACATCTCCCCAAACTCTGGCCCCAACACCTGCACGACTCAAGCCACCCCGACGCCTCAAGACCAGGTCTGATTCACGCCTATTCTGGCTGCCCGTATTATTTTATGGGAAAATACCAGTGACGCCTCGGCCAATCCTCTACCATGGCTGATAATGGAGAGGGTTCGTCCCTGAACCCGACCCGATCCCGACCGATCGCGACCTCACCGGGTCTATCGCACTCTCCGGCGACAGAGGCGGGATACAGACAGGCCTCGATTGCACGACTTGCTTCGCCAGTCCCCTCACCTTCCCTGGGTACATCGATCTCGTCTCGACAAGGCATCCCGGCCAGTCATCCGGTGATGAGCAACAACACCGAGCATAATTTTCGGGCTGTCGACAACCCGTCCTCTCTTCCGGGTCCCGGCCAGTCGATGATTGCTTCAGCACTCCAGGATAGCCTAGGTCGCTCCCCGCCCAGGTTTGGGACTCCGCCGCGCCTAGGTGGATCGCCCGCCCCGGGGCCAACGACTCTAGATGCCCGACCAGTCGCATCCCATTACGGCTCCTTTGAAAATAAGTATGGAAATGACTCGCCCAGTATGCCGCCGTACGAAGACCCCGAAGTTGTGAAGAGACATCTAGTTCTGCCCCAGGACGTGGCGGACAACAGTGACGTCAATTCGCAGATTGCGACAAGCTTTGGCGGCGAGGATGAGTTCTCAAGTCTACAGCTTCAGGGAGGTGACATTACTCGACAAGTCTACCGGTGGGCCGAGGATGCAGAGGCCGAGGCCGCGGGGAAGTTTCTACGCAGCAAAAGTTTCAGTGTCAGTCGACCCACGCCGGAGACCGAGACGGAGGATATCAACTCCATTCGAGTACCAGGAGGGTTTCGAAGAGACTATCTGCGAAGAACAGCAGCCAGCCCGCAAAGGGGAAGTGCGCAAGGGTCAACTTCAGGGGGGCATCATGGCCCCCCTCAGCTTCCTACATCAAGCTTTCTGGAGTTTCTGACACTGTACGGTCACTTCGCGGGAGAGGAGCTAGAGGAAGATGATGAGGCCTTGGGTCCTGATGAGTATTTCTCATCCGGTACAAGTTGGGACGAGGGAGATGAAGACAGAGAGTCCGGAGAAGACGCGGCGCTGCTTCAGGGCGAAACACCGGGCCGCAAAAAGAGGAAGCATAAACAGCGTGCACCGGCGGGGACAACAACTACGACTGGAGCTGTTATGCTGCTGCTCAAGTCCTTTGTCGGCACCGGCATTCTGTTCCTGCCTCGGGCGTTCCTGAATGGCGGTTTACTATTCAGTAGTATGGTGCTACTGGGCGTCTCTATGCTGAGCTACTATGCCTTCATTCTGCTGGTCAACACCCGCATGAAGATCAATGGGTCCTTTGGTGATATTGGCGGAGTTCTATTTGGAAAGCACATGCGACGCATCATTCTCGGATCGATCGTCCTCAGCCAGTTGGGGTTCGTGTCGGCATACATCGTCTTCGTCTCGCAAAGCCTACAAGCATTTGTCCTCGCCGTGAGCAAATGCAAGTCCTTCATCGACATCAAGTGGCTAGTACTGTTGCAATTGGTCATCTTTATGCCTCTTTCTCTGATTCGCGACATCAGCAAGCTTGGCTTTACCGCGCTTGTTGCGGACGTGTTTATTTTGCTTGGATTGTTGTATATCTACTACTACGACGTCAGTACGCTCGTCAGCAATGGGGGCATGTCTGATGTCAGCTCTTTCAATCCGGCGACCTGGTCTATGTTCATTGGAACCGCCATCTTCACCTATGAGGGCATTGGTCTCATCATTCCTATTCAAGAATCGATGAAAAGGCCGCAACGCTTTCCAGCTGTCCTCGGTGGTGTCATGGTCGTCATTACTTTCATCTTCCTCTCGGCAGGTGCCCTCAGCTATGCCGCCTACGGTTCAAAAACGAAGACTGTCATCCTTCTCAATCTGCCCCAGGATGACAAATTCGTCAATGCTGTCCAATTCCTCTACTCGCTTGCGATCTTGCTTAGCACTCCTCTGCAGCTCTTCCCCGCTATCCGAATCATGGAGAACGAGCTTTTCAGCCGCAGCGGCAAGTATAACCCGTGGATCAAATGGGAGAAGAATTGCTTCCGCTTCTTCCTTGTCCTGATATGTGCGTTTGTCGCTTGGGGCGGTGCTGATGACTTGGACAAATTTGTCTCGCTGGTCGGAAGCTTTGCCTGTGTTCCATTGATTTACGTGTATCCGGTATGTTGTCTTGGTTTTTGCCGTTCTTCATCCCTACCAGAGAGACGCATCGCTAACTGGAAATATTGTATAGCCTCTTCTCCATCTCCGCGCCTGTGCCCGTTCCCGGAAACAGGCCATTGCCGACGTTGTACTCGCTGGCTTCGGCGTTATTTGCTGTATTTACACGACCACCCTGACCATTCAGAATTGGGTCCGCGGTGCCGTTGATACGACCCCGGGATACTGCGATTCTAAGTAATAGTCCTTGGTTTCTGCTCTTTGTGGCGTTTCCCGGAACAAACGCCGTGTTTCCATACTACATTTGCTTCTTGTGTCTCCTTTTTTACTTTTAGACTGTGGCATAGCATGGATTCTTGGATCCACCTCATCTGAACCTATATGCATATACGAGTTGGTCCTTCTAATGTGCAATCTATCAAGAATTGGATGTTAATTGAAGATTTGGCTCAGCCCTGCTCCCATCGGAAACAATCCCATTCAACCGATGTAGATACTGTCTATGTACAGTGACAGGATAACTAAGACACCCACTAACTCACTTCGCGACGTCTCACCTCTTCCACTTCTTTCTATATATAGTACCTCCCATTCCAAAACTGTCTAGAAACTGACAATTTTGGTTGTGTTCTGACAAAAAAAGAAAACAGAAGACCGTAGGTGTATAGAAGCGACAATGCCGAAAACGACCGCCGGGCATAGAGTTTAAGACGAGTGTACAACCATCTCCCACCACCGAGCCTCCCTCTCTCCCCTCTTCTCTGCTTCTTTACGCCCCAGCCTGAGTTGCAGCCTCGCCCGCTTTAGCACCCTCTGCAGCGAGCTGAGCTTCCCGGCCACCCCAGCTGTGAAGAAAAAGAAAATGTATCAGTATATGTATGGACCGACAATGGGATTGGAATTGCAGGGTCGAGCTGATCTGAGGGAGTGTGACTCACTGCCAGTACTTCAGGTACCGATAACCCTGTGTTGTCTGGGCGCCAAAGTTGGTCAAGTGGCAGGCAAAGAGGAGGTAGTTCTTAGGCGTGACGGCGAGAGAGTAGCGCATGAAGGTGGCAGCGTAGATGGTGAGTGCACCGGTCATTTTGCCGGAGATGCTATAGCAAGGAAGGAAGAGGCATTGGTCAGCTCGGAGGTTCTTCTTGGCTGGAGCGGACACGGAGGAATGGCAGGGCCAGGACCAGCCAGACTGCAACGACTCGACTCAATGAGGAGGGATATGTATAGCCAGCACGTACATCTCAGGATCCTTCTGCGTGTCCATCACGGCCGCAATGGGGATACCGAAGTTGGAGACGGGGCCCCAGAAGTCTATCGCGCGAAAATGACGGTTAGCAAGCTGCGTAGGTACGGCATGACTGGAATCTGCTTTGTCCGCCTGCAGAGTTTCGCTGTTTCTCCTCGTGCGAGAATCAATTCATCGCCGGCCGATGTCGGTAGCGGGAAGAGGTTCGGGAAACTCGGACAGGACGGGGAGGGCACGTACGGGTAGAGCAGACATAGTCCAGCACCTTGTTGGAGCGGATCTTGGCGTTGATGGCCTTGATAGCAGCTGCCATAATGGATTGCTGGGGGAATGATAAGGGGAGGAGAGGTCAGGGTCGAGTGCCCGGTTCTGCGGCGGAATTAACGGGGAAGGTCACGTGAGGCGTTCACCGGTTTAGGGCCTGGAGGAGTAGTAGTTGCAAAGATGGTAACAGAACGAGTTCTAATGAGGAGAATTGAATAAATAGAACTGGTTAATTTGCTCAGTAGCCGTGGAGAATTTGAAGGTACATAGATTTTGACAGGATCTAGTCCCCTCATGGGGGAACATATATTGCACACGCTGTCTATTCAAGATTCTCATCACTCCACACCCATTTCGGACAAAGGCTTAGTGAGCAGGAACGAAACCCGAGAAGACTAAGACTATTTGTGGAAGACCATTGGTGGCTAGGAGGAATACGAGTTTTTGATAGGTGGCTAGCTAGCATTATTTTGAACAAGTGCGAATATCAAATATCATTTCTTGGCTTCTTTTTTCTTCTCCATTCCTTGCCATGACCACAATCCGCATGCGCCGTTACGCCTTGCCCGGTAGATTCGGAATGAATCTAGTCTGAACACATATCAATGCTTCTCACTAGGAAAGCCTATTTCAACTCTATCCAGCGTCGAGCCGCGTGTTTCATTGTCACAGAGTAAAACAAATCACCGGCGAAGTAAAGCGTGTTATATTGCACGGTAGTTTCTTTGATCATCTACCGCCAAATCCGGGGGGAGGAAACCCACGTCCCTGACCGGGAGGCTGGAAGCCTGGAGGAGGTTGGAAAGAGCCCGCTAAAAAAGTTGCATGTCAGTCTGGATGTATCAAGAACCGTTGGATCAGGAGGAACTTACGAGGGCCGCCCGGAGGGGCAAAACCAGGGGGTGGTCCACCAAAGCCAGCTGCAATTCAAATATGTTAGTATCCATAAGCATTGACGTGCACACCGCGAGATCAACTTACGAGGTCCACCGGGGGGTCCTCCACGTCCAGCAAATCCAGGCGGGGGCGCTCCGGGGAAACCACCCGGCGGGAACGCTCCAAAGCCTCCAGGGGGTGGCGGTCCACCGACACCAGCTGCAGGACCGCCCAGTCCGACAGGCAGGCCACGACCAGCGGGCTTGCTGATACCGGGGCCTGCGGCGAGAGTTGCAGCAGCGGCACCTGGCGCACCGGCGCCGAGTCGCGCTGACGGGTCTGCAGGAGGCGGGCCATCGACAGAGCAGGAGATAACCTGAGTACCGCGCACGATTGTCAGACCGAGGGTTCGCTTCTCCTCCGCTTCGACCAGCGGGGCGTTGTTGGGGCCGGCGGCCGGCTTCGACTTTCGCTTAATCCGGCGGAATTCTTCTGTGTCTGCGAGAACGAGGTTCATGTGCTACAATCGTGAAAGAATTAGTCGAATGCCCGACACGCCAGAGACAAGTGGTTTACCTTATCGAAGGCGAGCATCTGACCGGTCATTTGTCGGCCGTCGTTGAGAGTTACCCTCATCCGGTAGTTGATCTGAGAGACAAATTAGTTATGCCAATAGCACGATCAAGTCGTCCAAGTGAAACTCACGAAGTTTTGCTAGAGGAGAAACGTTAGCGACAGCCATTGAGCACACGATGCAGGTTCGACCAGGGACAGAAAACTCACCATCTTGCCCTGCTTGTTGGCGGCCATGATGACTATTGACAGTGCGCACGAATGCGACTTGAGATGACCAAAAAATAACCAGCAAATGCAGTAGACAGGGGAATCTTCTGCCGGGGCTGTTCAGGACGCGAAATCCTCTGGACAAGAACGAAAGCTGGAGCTCTCTGGGACTTGGTGGTCACGGGGTTTTCGAGGAAAGTGGCTGACTCATCCGCTTCGAGCATGACTCAGCAGCGGATTACCTCAGCAGGGCTCGCTTCCTCCCGTGACCCGCCCACACAAACCGCCTTTTGTGCTTTTCTGATCTTCCTCCATCTTTAGTCGACCACCACTTCACGCCACACACAGTCGCCATGGTATGTCCACACACACTGGATATCATTATTATTACGATTCTAACAGAATGCAGTCGGACGGAAAGGACAAGAGCGCAAACCCCATGCGCGAGCTGCGCATCCAGAAGCTTGTGCTGAACATCTCGGTCGGCGAGTCTGGTGACAGACTGACCCGTGCCGCCAAGGTGCTTGAGCAGCTGAGCGGTCAGACTCCTGTCTACAGTAAGAATGCCGTTCGCTCTGGACCGTCTGGGAATTTTTTTCTGATCGATTGTGTGTGTGTGTGAATAGGCAAGGCCCGCTACACCGTCCGTACCTTCGGTATCCGCCGTAACGAGAAGATCGCCGTGCACGTCACCGTCCGTGGCCCCAAGGCCGAGGAGATTCTGGAGCGTGGCCTGAAGGTCAAGGAGTACGAGCTGCGGAAGCGCAACTTCTCCGAGACCGGCAACTTTGGCTTCGGTATCTCCGAGCACATCGATCTGGGCATCAAGTACGACCCCGGCATCGGTATCTACGGCATGGACTTCTACTGCTGCATGTGAGTGTCCCCAGTCAATTTGGAGGCGAGGGCACAGATTGACGATTTTTCTTTCTTAGGACCCGCCCCGGTGAGCGTGTTGCCAAGCGCCGTCGCTGCAAGTCCTCCATCGGCGTCAACCACAAGATCAGCCAGACCGAGACTATCAAGTGGTTCAAGAACCGCTTCGACGGCATCGTCCGGTAAATTTCCGTCGAACGTGTGTGATGAATGAGAAGGGGGGGCCGATTGAAGCTGTGATTTACGATGCATCCAAGGAAGCCAAAAATTTTCTCACTGAAAAAAACCAACCTCGGCCCCAAGGAGTGGAATGGCCGTGCGACCCTTTCTGGTCGCAGCAGGTGTTTTGATTTTTTTTCTATCACGGCAAACAGGATAGGCGTGTTAGAGACATGAATTCACTACCACTTACAATTTTGCAACGCAGTTTCCTTTTCGCAATGAAGGCTTCACAAGAGGTGTTGTTTCCCGCATAACCATTGCTGAAAAGGCTGGCTGGCACTTTCGAGTGTCTGGCTTGTGACTCGGTTGGCTTGTACCCAAAGAGTCGGTCTCGTCTCTCTCCGTGTGGAGGGAGGATGAGCACCATGGCCTCTCCGTCCATCCCTCACTATCTCTGGCGTGTCTTTCCTTGTAATCGTAGGCTGTGTAGTGTGTAGTAGTTGTGCTATTCCCGGTCGTTTGTATTCGTTACTTTGGGATATTCCAAAGCGCCTGGATTTTTATCATTTACGCCCAGTCTACATGACTATTACAGCAGATGAAGGCCAACACTTACTGGCAGGTCACTAATTATGGCCCAGTCTTGAACTTACTGATATATCTTCAAGCCAAAGGCCCATGATCTGTCTTGAACAGATACTCAACAGATTTGTTCATCTATATCTTTTAAAAAGGAGATACAACAACTTATCGGGCTATGTGCCTGAGTACTCAAGCTAGGCGCTGTCACTGAACAAGCAATATGCATTGACTTTGATAGAAACACAAGTATAAACACTACAAGTCCATCAACTTGACCATTCTCAATGTGCATCAGAACAAAGACATACATTTCCCCTGGGGCAATTTCCTTCAAAAGAGATTGGCACGATCAAACCCATGATTGAACTTCAAGCTCACACATGATAAGAGATACTATAAAATAAAACACAAGCATGAGAAACGTAGAGTAAGAGTCGTGAAAACATCCATCCATCCATCGCCAAAAGTCCGTCTTCTTCGATCTTGAAAGCAAGGTCGAGCTCAGCTGGGGACTTGAAGTGATTTCATTCCATCCGAGTAGTGACGACGACGACACCCTACTTCCCGCGCGTATAGCCCTCCCACCACTTCGAAAAGTAGTTACCTGCGGGCTTCTGCTCATTCCAGCTAGCGCGCCGGGTGGCCAAGCTGGGATCTTCCGAAGTCCGTTTCTGGGATTGCAGGTTGGCAAAGAGGCCCGGGGAGGCGCTGGAGCGACGTCTCTCGCCCACGCTGGGGATGGAAGGGTTCTTGGCGCCGGCAGCGTTGGTGCCGGTGGAGGAAGTGGACGAATCAGAGTCCTGGATCGGGGTCAATATTATTCAGTTCGCAAGGGGGGGAGAGAGAATATTGGAAACATACCCGTCGAGTTGTGCTCTCCATCCCCGGCAGCATCGCCCACGGAGGCCGGTCCGCAGGAGCCTTCGCACCACCATTCATCCATACGTTAAGGTGCTCATATCGATCACCGGGGTTGCCGTGCCAGTGGCGCTTGGTATTGTCGCTCATATTGGCGATCTCTAAGAGTGCACAATCCGTGATATGCTGTTTGTCTGAGGTTGATGGATGTAGATACTTGATATGGTCAGTCAGCGGCAGAGGTATGTTCCACTATGGTATGTAGGTAATAATGTGGGAGGTGATAAGCGTAGCTTAGAGGTGAGATACATGTAGACTATTAACGATTACATGTATTCATGGGAAGGGATGGAGTCAAAGACGTCATTGGGCTTGATTCGGTCGGTGGATGGATTTCCACGGGAAGAGAGAGGCGGTACACGCGAATTGCACTTGAAGGGGGAAGTTTGGTTGGGACGGGGAGGGAAGTGTGGAACGTACCAGATGTGGTGAGGATGGATCTGATAGATGAAGATGGGAAGGATAGAAGAAAGAGGGGAACCCAGCTTATATGGACGAGTCTATCCTATCCCTGCTGATGGGTGCGACCATACAGTTTGTCAGCTAACGGAGACATTCTGAGTGGTGGTAAGGGCCGTTGGTACGTGAGGTATACATGATTTCAGATAGTATCCCGTGCCCAGTGAGATGTACTATAGATGTAGATCACGGCTGACTTGACGTAACCCGGAATGCGGGGAAAGCTTCGATGTCAAACCATGTAGGCTTAGGGGAACACTATTACCACGTCAAATCTGCTACTGCGCCAGCTTGAATACGAGGGGGAAATGCTTAGGTGTGTTCTTAGGGTTTGAACTACTCCCAGTGCTTCAACAAAGAGGAAGTTCCGTCCCTCAAGAGCATACTTAGGGTAGGCACGTGCCTTGGTTCAACCGCTTCATTTCTACCGCTTACGCCTAGGACATAGCATCAGATGTATAGTCGAAGAGAAGGATATCGTAAGAATGTTTGAAATGAACGCTGTATATCTGTCTGGGCTGTATAGTTGAGAAAATGGACAGGGTATGCTGTAAGCCACGGTCTATGTATTGCACATCACAGCTTCGACCGCTCCGCATCACCACGCACCTCCTTCAAACGCTTCCACACCCGAATAGCCTCATCCCACAAGGGATCGTGCTCACGAATCTCCACCCGCCCATCAGCCGTCAACGCGCGCACCGTCTTCCCACTCGCACCCCAACCAAAGCCATCGGGCCCCGTTGCGGCCTGCGCACCCTTAACAAACCGGCTCAGCGGCGCGATAAACGCCTCGCGCACGATCTTCTTCTCCTGGTCTGTGAGCACATTGCCATTCCCCCAGAACCAGATCGGGTAGTCAGACGAGTGCGTAACTCCCCACTCAGGCGGCATGCTGCCATCGACGCACTTGGCGCGGAACTCGATTCGATACCGGTGAATCAAACGCGAAGCGTCAATACCCGCGCTGTTGGATGTGAGGGCGTGGATGAGCCCGCGCTGCATCTGGTAGACCTGCATGTCGGCGTAGATCTTGCCCCAGGCGTCGACGGCCCAGTTGGTGCAGTCTGGCGGGAGACGGCCGCCCGGGTAGCGGAGTGGGATGAGGGCATCGACGATGCGTTCCGGGTAGTCGGCTATCAGACGGGTGCGCAGCCCAGAGAGGGTGTCGGTCTTTGGAGGGAACCATGTGCCGTAGAGATGGCGCTCGTCGCGGCATTCTCCTAGGATCAGGCGGAGGTTGCGGGAGAGCAGTTTGCGTGCGAACTCGCCATTATCCAGAGACTCGAAGAGACTGGGTACTATAAAGTCCGTGTCTGTTGCTGGGCGGAATTGGTGCACTTCGATTTCCTTGGCTACGTCTAGAAGTCGCGCGGCTGGAATGGACCGCAGACGAGCTATCTTTTCCCCCGCCGAGAGCGAGAGGGGGATCTCCAGCGCTGAGACTAGCTGGTTGAATTGTGTTTGCGTCTCGGCAGGGCTCTTGGGCTGCACGGCCGGTCCATTGGACAAAATGCATGCCTGACGGATAATGGCCTTGTCGTCAGGTTGACGGAGATCAAAAGCCACCTGGTGGAAGGCGGAGTTTGCACCTAGAAATATTCAAGCGTCAATGACCTAAACCCAATGCTCCAATCAATCAATCCCATCATACGTACCTGCCGAATAACCCGAGATAGTGATATTCTCCGGATTCCCTCCAAACAGATGAACATTCTCCTTCGTCCACTCCAGCGCCAATCGCTGATCCCAGAAGCCCTGATTCCCCACCGTCTCCCCAACAGAGGCAGCATCCTGCGCCAGTTCAGACGAGTACAGGAATCCAAACAGATTCACCCGGTACGCAGGCATGACAATCACACAGTTGAAATCCGTCTCACCCAGCAACGCCTCCGCATGGAAAGAATTGGGCGTGCCAAACTGAAGCCATCCGCCATCTAAATAGAAATGGAAACAGAAATAGCAGTGTCAGTCAATCACTTTCAAGCCAAGCCGCTTCAACTGGCCAATAAGGACACTCGGACGTACGAATATAAAAGTAAACCGGCCATCCACCCTCCGGCACCGGGCCGGTAGGCACGTATACATTACACTGAAAGCAATCTTCATTCCACGCGTCCGGGTTCAATGGCGAGAGATCCAAGAAAGCAGGCTGGGGGCACAGCGCCGCACCGCCGTCGCATCGCCCGGGTGCATCCTTGGTGCCGTAGGAAAATGTTGCCGGGAGAGGGTGGGCGCGCCGCCAGCGCTGCAGCGGTGCGAGGGCGTAGCGGACGCCGCCGAAGTAGTGGCACAGGTCTGTGCCGGGGCGGGTTGGGGTTCCCGAGGCGACAGTGACGCCTTGGATGACGCCGCGGTGAGCGAGGGAGTGGATGTGTGGTCGGCGAGTGGTCTCCATCTTTAATTGATGTGGTTGTTTGGATAGAGGGTGTTTATTATGCACTTGTGGTGCATGTGGTGGTGGTGTTAGGTAGTTTTGTCAGGGAGGGAGGGAATGGCGTTATTTAGTGAGGTGATTTGGCCCAGCGCAGACGGACTGTAGTTCTCTATTTATCTCTATCCATTCCGTCCTCCCCACAGATAAACCCTAGCCGAGATAGTCAATGGAACCCGAGGGAGGACCCCATTGGTAATGGTAGACGAGCAGATCGGCAAAAGTTCGCAGGGTAAGGAAGAGACAAGTGGATTTGCGGGGGACGGAGTCGGGTCCAGATCTGGTGCCGAGAGGACGGAATTGCGCTGACCTTACTTACATGGACCGATGGTGAGCGTATGTCTATATGTCCCTATAATCGGGACAGAATCGGTAGTGATTCGAGTTGACCCTATAGGCAATACCGTAGAGCTACCGCTCCCCAGCCTAGCATATACAAGCGTTGCATTTTTAGACTAGCAAAAAAGAAGATAAAGAAAGGGAAATAGCCAAATAAACGCTCAGATATCACATATCACTCGTGCAAAGCCTGGTTATACACACTCTATGCCTTGACGATCTTGCAGATCAGGTCCTGGCCGTCAACCGAGTCGCCCTCCTTGACCAGCAGGCCGGACACCTTTCCGCTGTGTGGGGCAGAGATCACCATTTCCTAGCACAAGTTAGTATCCCTGAATAGATAAGGTATGTAGAGAAAGAAGTAAAGAAGAACATACCATCTTCATGGCGCTCAGCACCGCAATCGGATCGCCCTTCTTGACCTCGTGGCCATCGTGGACGCGGATCTCAACAACGACACCACTCATCGGCGCGCCGACCTGGCTGCTGTCGCTCGCGTCGGCCTTGGGGCGAGCAATGTTGTCGACTGATGCCTTGTTGTCATCGACGCTGACCTGGCGCACCTCGCCGTTGACCTCGTAGAAGACCTCGCGCTGGCCGGTCTGCTCGGACAGCGGGCCGATAGCCAGCAGCTTGAGGATCAGCACCTTGCCCTTCTCCAGCTCGACGTTGAACTCCTCGCCAATCTCGGGCCTGGCCAGGAAGTAGCGCGTCGGGAGCACCGACAGATCACCGAATTTCTGCACGAACTTGCGGTAGTCCTCGAACACCTTGGGGTACATGGCGTAGCTGGCGACGTCGCACTCCGTGGCGGCGCCCCACTTCTCGCGGATATCGTTCTTGATCTTGACCAGGTCCAGGGGCTCCAGGTACAGACCGGGTCGCTTGTCCAGCTTGCGTCGGTCGCGCAGCGCCTTGGAGCGCAGCGGCTCCGGGAACCCGCCGTAAGGCTGGCCCATCAGGCCCTCCAGGAACTCCAGCACGGAACCGGGGAAGTCCAGCTCGCCGGCGCGGGCGATGACGTCCTCAGCGGTCAACTTGTTGGAGACCATGAACTGGGCCAGGTCACCAACGACCTTGGAGGTCGGGGTGACCTTGACGATGTCACCCAGCAAGTCATTGGCAGACTCGTACGCCTTCTTGGTCTGGGCCCACTGCTGGCCCAGGCCCAGCTGGCTAGCCTGGAAGATCAGGTTGGTGAGTTGACCACCGGGGATCTCGTGTTCATACACCTCCGGGTCGGGACCGGTCAAGCCAGCCTCGAACGGCGAATAGAGCAGACGCAACTGAGCCCAGTAGGTGTCGAGGGCACGCACCTGCGACAGGTCGAGGCCGGGGTCGTGCTCGGTGCCCTGGAGCGAGGCGAGGATGGCACCAATGCTGGGCTGCGAGGTCATACCGGACAAGCTGTCGGTGGCGGCGTCCACGGCATCAGCGCCAGCCTGCGCGCAGGCAATCATCGAAGCCACACCGGTACCAGCGGAGTCGTGGGTGTGGACGTGGATGGGCAGGTCGGGGTAGCGTTCGCGGATGGAACCGACCAGCAGGCGAGCGGCCTGGGGCTTGAGCACACCTGCCATATCCTTGATGCCGAGCACGTGTGTGCCCAGCTTGACGATCTTCTCAACAAGCGACAGGTAGTACTCGAGGTTGTACTTCTTGCTGGGGTTCAGCATGTCACCGCTGTAGCAAATGGTGGCCTCGACCACACCGCCGGCCTGCTGAACGGCCTTGATACCGACTTCGAGCTGGTCGACATCGTTGAGGGCATCGAAGACACGGAAGATGTCAACGCCGTACTTCTTGGCTTGCTTACAGAAGTGGTAAATGGCGTTGTCGGGCAGGGAAGAGTAGGCCA